TCGAGTTGTACCGTTTGTTTCTCTGTAGCGTGTGTGATTCGTAGATAAAAAATGGCTCCCAGCTATAAAGTAACATACTTTGATCTCAATGCTCTAGGGGAACCTATCAGAGTATTGCTGAGTTATGGAAGTTTGGAATTTGAAGATGTTAGGATCAAATACAAGGACTGGCCCGACCTTAAACCAAGTAAGTGGTTTTTTGCTTATAGAATGATCAAAGGTCCATTAATTACCATGGTGGAACCGAATATTTGATTGGATCTTCGCACATTGACAGGAAATTTACACCAAAAATTGTTTCACGCTTTTAAAAAAAATTGTTTCCGTCGGTACAAAGCTTTTTAAAATTCTTTGGGTTTTTCAAAAAAATTATCTACCACTGTTTCCATCTCAGTATAACGTCTAAAACAAATTTTATTTAAAGTGTGTTTAAGATACATGAAGACATATGTATAATGATTTTAACGAAAAAGTGACCATATATTCCGAAATACCCAGTACAAATCTAATCATCTAAAATTAACAGAAATACAGGGTCCCATTTAAAAAATACATGTTTATATTGCCACTAATTTATGGGTCACCCTGTATAGCCAAAAATAATTTTAGGTTGAAACCCTTAGCTCTGCCCACAACTTTCATATTTAACTTTTATCTGCAACTCTAATAGTAACGAAGATATTGAGCTTTGACACACTATTTGGACACCCTATATAATGAGGGTACGCTTGATTAACGATTAAAAAGTTTCACAATAACACTTAAACGATGTGGAACATGTATCCCTTTCAAATAAAAAACGAATTTATATAATAATAATAATAAATGGGCTTTATTTCGTACCTAAGTAAAAGTACAAAAAAGGCGAAGTGTCGCTAAAATTAGCGTTTTTCAACTTAACCTTAAAGTTAACAAAAATATATATATATATATAATAAAACATTCTACCAACAAAAATGTATCCATAATTCTCAATAATTACTAAATAATTAACAACACAGAACAATTACAAGAATAGTCCATATTTCTAGCATTTTGTACTCATCATCAGACCTCGACTTGTAGTTTTAGTTAAAGCCTCTTTTTAAAATTAAATAACGTATAGTTTTGGAATGTAACAGGCAGATCATTGTATAATTTAATAGCATTGTAGCTGAATGATGTTTTGTAGACAGCCTTAGAATGTAAGGGTATCACTAACATATTCCTATTCCTTGTATTCAGTTGATTTAAGTCACTACATCGTGTTAACTTATTATGCAAATATTGTGGTTGTTTGGTAGCTAAAACCTTATGTGTGAGTGTCAATAAGTGAAGCTTTTGCATGCCTTTAATCTGCAGAATACCAAGTTCCTTAAATTTATGAGAAATATGATCAAACTTTCGTATTCCGCAAGAAAATCTGATGCACGAATTCTGAATACGCTGTAATTTGCTTTGTTCACTATATGATAGAGCTGCGCCATATATACTGTCACAATAACTGATTTTTGATATAATTAATGTTTCACACAGTTTCAGCTTTACTGAAGTAGATATTATTTGCCTATGTGGATAAAACTGTTTCAAAATGCAGTATGATGCACTACATAACGAATTTACGTGTTTTTTGTATTTTAGTTCTGTGTCAATCCAGAGTCCCAGGTTTTTACACTCATTCATTATAGGAAGCCGACAATCATAGATTTTAAGGTTAATTTCCGTTTCGATCAATGTTCTTTTGTTTTTTGAGCCGAAAACCATAACTGAAGATTTAGATGGATTAATTTTTAGGTTATGTGAGCACGAGATGTCTACTAGCCTTGTTAAGTCTTCGTTGAGCAATGCTTCTGCAATTTTAAAATCTTTGTGTTGGAAACTAAAATAAATTTGAGTATCATCAGCATAGTGATGGATTGTGCAATTATGGACATATTGATGGAAATCCGATATATATAGAGAGAAAGGTAAAGGTCCCAGTATGGAACCTTGTGGAACACCAAAACTTATAGCAGTTGACTGTGACATTTTCGAAGCTGTTAAGACCTTTTGATTTCTATTTGACAAATAGCAGCTTATCAAATTGACTGCAGCATCAGTAAAACCATAGTAAGACAGCGTAAGTAGCGGAATTTCAGGGTCTATCATATCAAAAGCTTTTGTGTAATCCAGCAGAACTAAACAAGTGATATTTCCTTGGTCAAGGCCTCTTATAACATCATCAGTGACATTGGCTAGAGCAGTTGTTGTACTATGGTTTTCCCTGAATCCAGACTGCATTGATGGAACTATTTCATTACTGAAAATATACTGAGATATTTGTATCTTCATTTCCCGTTCCAAAAGCTTCGAAAATGCGGGAAGTAAGCTGACTGGTCTAAGTTGCGTTACAGACGTGGGACTCGCTACTTTAGGAATAGGTATGATGATAGCCTGCTTCCAAACATCAGGGAAACATGATGTTGATATTGCGTGATTGATTATAAATGTAATATGGTCTAAGAGCAAAGTGAAAATGTATTTTATCATAATGAGTGAGATTCCATCAGCCCCTACAGCATTAGTTTTAATAAATGAGAAACTCTTCGCAACAGATTCTTTGGCAACCTTTTGGAAACAGAATGACTTGGGAAACTTATTGTTTTGATATTTGTTCAGTAGTTCTAATTGCTTTTGTGTCTTGGTTATGATCGGAATATTTGAGAAATGTGAATTTATTTCATCTGCGTCATTGAAGCTATCTGGAAGAGTATTTATAGAGGACTTAGTTATATTAAGTTTCCTAAGAGAACTCCATATTGCTTTACTGTTCCTCCCAGATAGGATATATTCCATATAAGCCTTTTTCTCTCTCCGCAGAGCAGCAGCAGCGTAATTACGGAGTTCTTTATAATAGTTCCAGTGGGCAGTTGACTTACTTCTTTTAAACCTTAGATACGCTTTATCTCTAGCTTCATTGATCATTTTAATATTGTATGTTAGCCAAGGAGCTGGTGGCTTAGTAACTCTAAGTGTTCTCATAGGTGCACAATTATCAAATAAATTTAGTATGTTGCTATTTAAAAAATTTACCATGTCATTAACGCTGTTTAATTGAAAAATATCATCCCAATGAGTCGAATGAAATAAATCATAAAAGGTACGTTCATCAAAGTTACGAAAGTCCCTAAACGTGTAAAACTTCTGCGTCCGGTTGCTTAACGTTTTATGGAGGTGACAAACAACAGCTGAATGATCAGATAACTCATGAACTGGAACAACAGTAATACTTCACCCACTTCAACATTTAGTTCTTATTTCCTTTAGAAAAAATGGCATCTATACTGAAAGTTTTTGTTTCCAGAAACGCCCTATGGCCAACTGCCAATTCTGGAATGCGACGGCAAAGTGGCACACCAACACATCGCTATTTGCAGATATTTGGCGAAAAAGGTGAAACTCACCGGCAAAGACGACTGGGAAGATTTGACAATCGATGCAACAGTTGAAACTGTCAATGATTTACGTATTAGTAAGTATAAACTTTAATATTCCGAGTTACACAGTTTCAAAAATTTTATATTTGTTTCCAAGATTATCGAAATTACAATTCTAGCAATCTGTGAGACAAAACTAAATAATCCTAACGTTTTAGTGGTGGCACAGTTTTATTACGAGCATGATGGAACCTTGAGGAAAAAATTACAAGAAACCCTCATGAATGAGACTATTCCGTACTACATAGGAAAACTTGAAGCTCGGGCTAAGGAAAATGGAGGATACCTGGCTCTGCCAAAGGTAAACAGATAATTTCAATAGATGTTCATATTTTATATTTATTTTCTGTTTAAAATTAGACACATGCATTAAATAGACTCAATTTAAAATATATTCATCGCTGCTCGTATTCGCTTGTCGCTGTCTGTCCAGGCATTTATGCCCTGCCCTGTGTTCGGTTTAACGGGGTGTAAATGAGACACAGCTACGTGCTTAATTTCATAGAAATATTTTATAAGTATTCTTGTTTTCACGTTATAAAAACGTAAAAATAATAGAACATCTTTTGCAGCTAACTTGGGCCGATGTATACTTCACCAGTCTCATAGATTACATAAACGTCTTGGTTGATAAGGATATAATCGCAAAGGCTCCTAATCTACAAGCTGTTAAAAACAAAGTCTGGTCTGTACCTAATATTAAAAAATGGATGGACAAGAGACCTCAGACTTTCAAACTTGCCGATTTCCCTCCACCACCTAAGTAGGGTTATTTTTAAGTATCTTTATTTTGTACAATAATCACAAAAAATAAAAAACGTTTTGATTATTGGTAATTTACTATTGAAATACCTGTCTACACAATGTTTCTTTTGAGAAAAGTATATAAAAATGTATGCGTCTCGTGAGTTCTTTCATACCCGTTCTACATTGACAATAAGGCTACGGGCTTCTTCATGAATTGAGTGCATGGCCAAATTTCAAAAGTGTAAAACAGGAATTTGACGTCAATTAAATCCAATCTCCCATCTTCGTGGATTTCTTTACGAAATTAAAACTTGTTCTAATTTTTGGCAAGTTGGACGTCAAATTCCACAGTGCCAACCATTGTTTTCCTTTCCGTTATACTGAACAATAAATTTTTCAATTCTAGTACAGAACTTTGATAGAACTACAGTATTCAACAATATGGTATCTGTTTATGAGATTCGCCTCAAAATCAACACCACAATAGACATAAAAGCTCAAAATGTTTCTAATAAGAATTTGTTGTGTTGTCGGTAGCACTGAGTACTGACAGATAATCCATGAATTTGTGCATTGATGTAAACACCTGATGACCTTGAAGAAATCGATCTGAATAAATTCGTGAAGAAATTGTTGATGTAAAATGGAGATAAGATCTTCAGCGAAAGTTTCGTTGATTTTAAATTGTTAATTTACTTATTTAACTGTTTGGATTCTGTTTTTACAGGATATACTCAAAAATAAAACTCGACTATTTCAATATTTATATTTATTTTAATATGTATACATATATAAAAGCCTACAAATGCTTGAAACATAAGTACTTAATTATGTTTCATAAAGTAAAGTAGGCCCGTTTGTTTACCCCGATACTCTTTCAAGTGCATTTTTATAGGCGATATTAATTCTGCACAACTTGGATATCCTTGCATTACTTTGCGCCATTTTCTCAACAAAGGTATATCTGTGTCTTTTAGGGGTAATTTTCCCCGCATAAGTTTTATTACACCTGCTCGCTCCGCCCAAGGCCAGAGTAGATAGTCCAACTAAAAAAATGGAATTAAGAAAAACATGTTTTTCAGAAAATCCAGGGCATTACCATGCCAGGTGTGTCCCCATTAAAATATGCAGTATTTCTTTCAGCAAGTTCATTCTCGAATTCCTGTAACATCTCAACGAAAACTCGAGCCCATTGTTCCAGAGTTTTTTGTTCCATGTGAAGACAGCATTTGAGGAAAGTAAACGTGAGTGGTGTTGATTTTTGGATGAGTTCCTTATCTCGTTTTTTTTATCTCTGGATCAGAAGGATACAGAGAATTTTCGGGGAATTTTTCTTCCAAGTAATCGCATATATTGATATCTTCTAATATTATGTCTGAGCCATCTAATAGGGCTGGGACAAACCCTGGAAAAAAAATAAGATTCCTTATCTAAACTTCAGATTCTGTTATTCCTTTACATAAAAACTATTTTTTAAGATTGTATTCATATGAAAAATGATCTCTAGCTCAGGAATCTCAGAGATCATATCTGTCGTTGAACTTCTGCAGGCCTATAAATAGATATTATGCTTAGTCATTATTTTTTATTTGCGGCAAAATAAATTGTTCCTACCCGTAAACATATAAAAGGTTATCAGTATGTGAAAGAATATTATCTCTTGATTGTTGACTATAAAGAATATAACTATGATATTAAGAGCAAATGTACATAACTTTATTGTAAAAATATAGCATCAATTTTACACTATCACGATCTCAAAAATATCCTTATTGATTTGTGATACTGGACAATTTAAAAGAAAAAACTGTTGTTCCGCCACTATTTCAGTGGGCGTGTCTCATACATCATGACCTCCGTATTAATCAATAGCAACATAAATAGCCAGAAACAAATTATAAAATTGCAGGTCTTTGCAATTCTTCTTAATTGTACATATTAAAATAATGCCTTACTTTTAGGATGAATTTTGAAGTACCATTCAGGTCTTCCAACTGAGCAGATATTCACAATATCGTGAGGGATACCTTTAGCTATTTCTGGATCAAACTATAATATGTTAGATATTTTAGCAGTTTTGTTACTTACCAGTAGATTTAATATTAAAATCTGCAGCAAATGATATATCAATAAAATGATCAACACAAAAATAAGAACACTAATATAAACGAAACTAAACAGTAGGGTGACTTTGAAGTTGAGTCATTAATTTTCAGATAATGATTGTAGAAGGAAGATAAACCAGAATATGTGTGTAAAAATAAAAAAAAAATTTACCTTGTTTTATAAAGTATCCTCCCGACAAGTATTTCAGTGCGGACCTGTATTTGATCGTGAGGTCCCCTGTGAGGTCTTAAGTCACCTGATTCACGAGCCCGTTGTACTACATTAACAAAGGCACGAGGGGTTGGTTGCACTCGATTGGGAAACCGATCCGCATAAACATGTGCCATTTGTTATTTCGTTTGAGCCACGCAACAGACACTATTCACACGCTAACCGACTGACACTGACTGTATGTATAACTGAACTGAATAAAATAATTTATTGTAAGAACATCGGTCCAAATTCTTTCGCTTTTTTGTTTCCGATGCGATGAACCGGTAAGGCGGATTATATCCGTTGTTGCCAAACACGAGCACATGATATTATTATTGAGACAGGGCGGTACTCAAACTTCCAAAGGGCTGTAACTTTGTTACTTTAATTTTACCAGAAAAATGGTAAACGAAAAAAACATTTCTTTTGATCAGATCTACTCACTGTTAAAATAAATGACTCAACTTCGAAGTCACCCTGTATACCCAGAGCTGAAAAATACAATACAAAGCGAGAAACTTAATATTATGTCTGCCTGCTGAGACCTGTTAGAAACGATTAGTATTGAAAGCAGTACGTACGCCATCTGTTATTGAAGAAAAAGGCAAGTGGAATAATTGTCTTCTCTGTTCCTAGATAGCTCAAGCGGCACCAAATGCACCAATTTTATTATTAATGTGATAATAAATCAGACTCTAGCCACTGCCTATTTAGGATTTAGAACGTTATTAACGTTAAAACAGTGAAATAAATATGACAGTTTTGTATGTAATAAATACCGCTACATTTTGGTTTGGGCAAATTTGCTCTACCGCCGCTACGCCGCTCTTCTCAAAATAATCCACTACAAATAGGGGAATTCCGCTACGTATGGCAACACTGGTTTTAGGTTAAAGTATAAAGTAATCCAGAGATAAACCCCCTGGTTTTGAAGGTGGTTTGAACCTGAACGCTTGTTTTTTTTATTTGCTTATGATTATGGAATTAAAAACGCGTTCAAACTGACAAACAGGTACCTTTAGAAATAATTACCAGTGTATGAAAATGGAAACTAACTCCAGAATACAGGTAAACAAGATGACTAAATTCAGAGGGAACTGTGCACTATCTGTCTGGGTTTCAGGTTGCTGTCCTAAAGGTACATAGCAAGGAGTTTCCTTTATATAAAGGCCTGAATGTGATAGGTAAAAATAAGGCAGCTACACTGAATATTGTGAACTTGGTAAGCAAGAGATTCATTACAAAAATACAGTCACCATAGTTCCAAAAACACAGTAGTCAAAGCCAGTCCTGTTGAGGCCTTGTGTTTTGAGAATCATGGCCTTTACGAGCAGCAACCCAGGCCTCGAATCCGCTATGGGGCCCCTTCATTTGTAGGTCAAACCTTGAGTGTTGTTTGCAATTCATCTCTCGGTCTAGCTTTTTTTTTTGTAATAATATATCACAGAATGTGAGCCAGAACCATGCAGTTATTATTGAGGTGGATGAAATCCAACACTACATAAGGCCTCAGTCGTCCCTACAATTGTAGGGCGTGTTTATGGCCTCCTTGATTTCGATAATATGAAGTCTTCTTCGGTAAGGTACATGTACGTCCTGCTTTTGATTTCTAGTCTGCCGTCAATCAGAAGTCAATTGTGATATTAGGTTATGTTTCTTTTTTGCAGATATAAACCATCGTGATATTGCATACAAAACTCCATATGTATTTTGGAAGGATAAAGAGGAGAATGATCTTCCTAAGAATGGATTCATGCATCTAGGCACTTGAAAGCATGTTTGAAGGAGCCAACCTTACTGAAATAAGTGAATTTGCTTTTTGTGACTGACATGTTACACTGCAATTTGTAAATTTAAGGTAGGCCTGTATATTCATAAAAGTTAAAAGCTATTGAGGTCAAGAGGAGCTTTGTTATGCCTGGGAAGGGGGTTCTCATATGTGTAATAGTTAATGTTGCATGTGAGAGATGAAATGTCACACAAAACTTGATAAAGGGGCTTTTTGAATATTATAATCAACATTAAAATCTCAAAAAGCTGATGCCATAGGTTAAATAAGAATCCAGTGATCTAGCAAAAATGCTATATAAAATACATATTTTAACACTTATGGTTATATCGGTACTTAAGCTTAACCATTACTTATAATACTATTTTTTTAGGATCTACTTGCATTGCTCAAAGAACATCCAATCTTGATAAGCCCAGGGTACAAGATATTGTTCCAAGACAATAACTCCATTGTAAGGAACATTATTAGAGGGAAAAAAGAAGAGTCAATATATTTAAATTGGATATTCCAAGAAGTTTGATACCTAGAGTTAATTAACTTTCCAAAATGATCTAATGTACCCCCAAACTAGAGAGATTTCTTTGCAATTGATCAGATATCCTATTAGCCTTGTTTACATAGCTTGTAATTTAGAAAATAGCATATAATCTAGTTAACATCAAGGAATAAAAATTGATGAAATCTATATTTCTAGATATTTTTGAATGAACCTATTGTATTTCTGCGGGTATACAATGTAGAATAAAAAATATTTATTTTATCAAGTATTCTTTTATTTATATTCTGCAAGTACCAACTGGAAAATATGATACATGAAATTGTTAAGGAATTCATAGATAGTATGTCAAAATACATAAGTATCAGTAATCAAATGAAGTCTTTATATCTAAAAGGTACAAATAATGACAGGAAATATGATCGATCATTTTTTTGTTACGATCTATAAAATCACTTTAAATACTTTATGAAAATTGACGTTCGTACCAACTTCACTTGCTTATTTTGGCAGACAATGATAGTACGCAACGGATTTCTCTTAAAATAAAAATTTTTAATTGAAATCTCGTCATTTCTAGGCAAATTTGATTGCTTAATTTTTGTTCACTCCGATGCACGGTATTCGCTTACAAAAATAAAATAACGTTTCATTGCATGATCCTAATATCGTTAGTATGACACTATGTAGAGAAATAGATTGTACTTTTCAGGTGAAAACCGTGCGTCAGACTAAAAGAATTCAATTTTTCATGTCCGACCCACTATTTCCAGCCAAAAAATTCTCTGCATGGTGTCATGTTAACAATATTATTATGATCGTTTTTATAAAAACCGTGCATCATTTCGTATCGATTTTTGCTTCAAAGTGATTGAAAATTTTAATAAGAGAGAGAAATAAACAGCATACCATCACTGTTTATCAAAACAGGCAGGTAAAATTAAAAGAATGCCTCTTGACACGTTTACATGTATGCCAAATTTTATTAAGTGGTAATACGGATATTCATAATCAAGGATTTATTTTTTGACCTTTTTTACCACCCTGTGTTACAAAAGTTAAAACATTTAGGATATATGATCATTTGAAGTTTTCATCTTAAAATGGACCTGAAACCACCCCCCTAGGACATTCAATTAGGAAACAAACTAAATTGCAGTTACCAATACTTCAAGAGATAAATGCAGACTTTCGAGCCAAAGATTTCATATTGTTTTTACTGTGACTATCATAACTAGCAAAATCCTATTTCTTTCTCAAACAGTAAATGGTTTTCTTTCCTATGCCACAGTTTTAATAAAATTTCCCTTTTATGTTAAGATTACAAGTCAATGAACAAATTGGAAAAGAAACTGTATTTAGCTGTCCTCACTTTTTCTTCATATACCACATTCTACAACATTAATATATGGTGCAACACATTTGATAAATACAACATATTGTTCTTTGAGGCTCAGTAGCTGAAGGCTCCATTATTGACAGGCAGCAGCGGTGGCCGCAGTAGTAGACTCTTCGGTCTCCTGATCAGTCGCCGTGCGCTGTGCGGGTTCGAGTCCCGTCCCAGGAGAAATTTTTTCCGTAGGTGGTAGACGGTCTCTGACTGTCGAACGCGGAGGTACCACCAGGCGGATCTCGTAGGCGGAGCCAAAATGTGTGCATGTTGCATGCACACGTGTTCCCTCGCCAGAGTCCGTGTGGCGTTCCCCCCTTTTCCATGTATCCCCCTATAGCCCCACGGTACTCAATGGGTGCTTAGGCCTTAGGCCTTCGTGGTAGTTGGAGTATAAAAAAAATAGTGATTTGAATCCAAAATTTATACCCAGCAGTTTAAATACAAATCAAATTCTGTACCTCAGAGCCAGGTTAAGTTCATTTTTGCCTAAAATGGGAGTTTTAATTTGATACTTGCAACATCTATCTACCCTTAATGATTAGTGAATTATGAATGCAATGAAACTATCTTAAAACTACCTATTAGGGCTTAACCCAGTCTGACTTAGAGGTAACTACAATTTCCAATATAATGGGTCTTTTCCGCTTATCTAGTTGTTTGAATTGTTTGGAGTTTGTTTAACAGGAAAGTAATTCCCTTGATGAGTCACAATTTTATTTAATTTTCCCATTCGTAATTAATTATGGTATTGTCATAAAGTTTTTCTGATTTTGCTTCATGATGCAACTCTATTCTTCTGTTTACTCTCTGTAACACTTCATTTTTGGTAATCCTACATGACCATGGCATTTTGAGCACCCTGAAATAGCGATGGTCAATAATACTAATTATGATCTTCACATACTTGTGCCTGACATTCTACACAATCTAGAGTCCGACAATGATTTGTGAAAAAGCATCTCTGACATCGACAATGCAATAATTGCACTTGCCTTATCCATGGAGGAACCATCTCATGAAGTCATCAAGAGAATAGCTTGGTTGTAAGCTTCTGGACTTTCATACACAAATATATTATAATATAATATATCCATGTGCATTAATTTTCCTAACTTTCTTGAAGATACCACAGGTTGTGGAATTTGTTCAATGTAGCGAGGTATTTTTGAGTGATCGACATTATTTGCAAGAAAATTATAAATTATGGTTCTGCTTTCCATTGAACGTCAAAACAACAACATAACCTCAAGCCAGAACTGTCAGTATGTCGGAAATGTAAAGCAGGACATACATGTACGTTAATGAAGAAGACGTAATATTATCGAAATCAAGGAGGCCATAAACGCGCCCTACAATTGTAGGGACGACTGAAGATACGGGCCTAAGATTCACCCGTCCACGTTGAATTCTCCATACCAACGGGAAATTGTCGACTGATGTGGCGCTTCGTTGCCGAAAACAGACAGTAACTCAGCAAGGCATTTTTGTTGCGATAACACTGATCAACAGCCAAAAAATATCCTAAATAAAATCAACAAAATATTACTATTTTTAATGTGCTAAAACCGGAATGAAACTTATTTTTTCAATATTAGTTTTGGAGATACGGTAATTATATGTGTTCCTGCTGTGACAGTGTTAATATACTGTAATTCACAAGAATGCACGTGCTACATTTTTATATTCGGCAAGGAAAGATGATGTAATCGGCATGATTGTGTTACGTTATACATACGTGTACATTATATTGTTTTATATTAGCCATTTTTTCTCAGTTGGCTGACAGCGTTCATGCAAGATGTCTGGAAAGTGTGTAAACAATCCAGATCAGTTTTGTTACGTGTGTGGTGATGTGACTTTTGCGTCTCAGAGACGGTCTATTACTCCACTAATAACAAAGGCATATCAGCTTTATTTCGGTTGTAAACTAGGTGATCAAGACAAACAGTGGGCACCCCACATCTGATGTAATACATGTGCTTCAAGTCTGAGGAGCTGGTTAAATGGCAAAAAACGGTCTATGCGCTTTGCTGTCCCAATGGTTTGGAGAGAGCCTACAAATCATATTAATGATTGTTACTTTTGCATGGTACCTTGTGTTGGACAAGCCACAGGTATGTCCAAGAAAAAAATCTGTTATTAACTACCCAAACATACCATCTGCGATGAGACCTGTGCCTCACAGTGACGAAAATCCTATTCCAAAACCCCCAGAATCCTACACTTGCGAATCAGATCATGGCGATCGAGTGATTCGTCAGGAAGAAGATATGCCATCAACGTCAAGAGATCCTGATTTTATACCGAGCACGTCATGCCACCAACCGCACAAAATAACACAGTCAGAATTAAATGATCTTGTAAGAGATTTAGAACTTCCAAAATGTAAGGCAGAGTTACTTGGATCAAGACTGCAGCAGTGGAACTTGTTAGAAGACGATGCTTCGGTATGTTTTTCGTAAACGCCACAAAGACTAGAACCATTTTTCAATATGGAGAATAACTTGGTTTTCTGCAGTAACATTAACGGCTTACTGGCGGCTTTAAATATAAACTATAATCCAGAAGAATGGAGATTGTTTATAGACAAGTTCAACATTGAGTTTAAAGTCAGTGTTATTGCACATTGGAAATATTTTACCATCTCTTCCTGTAGGGTATGCAGTTCACATGAAAGAATCATATGACAATATGAAGTACCTATTGACATGCATAAAATACGATGAGCACCAATGGCATATTTGTGGCGATTTGAAAGTTGTTGCACTTTTACTTGGGCTGCAGCTAGGCTACACAAAGTTTTGCTGTTTTTTGTGTGAATGGGACACCCGGGCAAAGGCACTTCGTTACACCAGACAAAACTGGCCTGTTCGTCAATTCCTAGAGCCAGGTCAGAAAAATGTACAGCATATGCCATTAGTAGATTCGAAAAAAAATTTATTACCACCACTGCATATCAAGTTGGGCCTAATGAAAAACTTTGTCAAGGCATTAGATAGAGATGGGTCAGCTTTTCAATACCTGCGTCAGAAATTTCCAAGACTAAGTGAGGCAAAGGTTAAAGAAGGTATTTTTGTTGGGCCATAGATTCGAAATATTTTGAAAGATACACAGTTTGAAAACACTTTAACAGGTATTGAAAAAACTGCTTGGAATGATTTCCGTCTGGTGGTCACTAATTTCTTGGGAAATAGAAAAGCTGACAACTATAAAACCCTTGTTAAAAATATGCTGTCATCGTATCAAAAGATGGGCTGTAATATGTCTCTTAAGATACATTTCCTACACTCACACCTGGACTTTTTTCCTGACAATTGCGGAGCCGTAAGTGATGATCACGGCGAACGTTTTCATCAGGATATTTCAACAATGGAAAAAAGGTACCAGGGAAAGTGGCATCCTTCCATGCTTGCAGACTACTGTTGGACTCTTGGTAGAGATGCTCCAGAAACGATCCATAAAAGAACAGCAAAAAGACAGCGCATATAGTGATTCTTATAAGTATATGAATCTTGTTACTTTTTTTAATATATCCTTAAAAATAAAAAGTTTTTTTTCTAAACCCCCCGATTAGAACAGAAGAGCCGCTTTTTCAAGCAATATCTAGGTCAGAAGTTGTCATACTTAATATTTCGTTTACTGCTCACTTTGAGAACATTTTCTAGGGATCACCCTTCGCCCCTCCCCAATTTCCGTCAGGATCTTTACCCCCTGTCGCCACCGCACGATTTAATTCTTTTGAATTTTGTCTCCTCTAAGGAAAATTTTGATTTCGATCAAAATCATCAGAAATGAAAAAAAAAGATAAAAGCCAAGTTTGGAGGGGAGCTATACATTTTTTGGCCATAATACTGGTACCATTAGACATGCCTTCCAAAATTTCTTCAAAAACCAGTCATACTTTGCCAAGTTATAGAAGGACCAATGATTTATTATGTAGATACTTTTTTGAAGGTGCCTCCCTTCTGCTTTGAGCTGGGTTTGCCCTGTTCCTGTATTACTATACCGTGCATTGTTGCTTTGTTGTTTCTGGAGAGTTTCAACTTCCAGAACACCATGTAGATGTTTGAGGCTTCCACGATATTCTACAGAAGGAATCAAATAAAAGACGTGGATTTTTCTGTATATTTATTTTCGTTATAATTATAGTTATTCAGAGGTATCGGTAACTTAAATTTTCCATTCTATGGCATCTATGTTTCATCTTTTATACTCAACACACTGTCTACATCCACAAATGAAATACTGATTGGTGCCGATTTCAGAAGAAAATTCATCCTATAAAGAATCACAACACAAGTGTGAAAATAAAAATTATTTAAGTGAATGGTGTAACAAAAAACTGGTGCTAATAACAATTTGAAGCTGAGATATTCAGCCTTCAAAGTTTAATCAGCCATTTAAATCTAACAAATGCAATTTTAGTATTCTTAAATATATACGCACTTATATTGCACAAAATCAATGTTTAACAAAATATAAATATTTTGGAATATGGAGGTAGACAGTTCAAAAACCTTCTTTATACAGGGCTACGAAAAAAACTAAACATAAAAATGGGCAGAGATTATATGGAAGTCATGAACAAAAAAACGATGTATGGTAAGGTATAGTTCACAACAGATTTATAGTGTCTATTTACATTTTTTCTGCTTCTTTATGGTAATAATGATGAAAGCTGGTTCATCTGTATAAATTATACATTTGAGCAATGTGCAATAATGTTAAAATGACTAATGAGTCCATATAGTTGCTTTGGAGACGTAGCAAATGTGAAATAAATCGCATTATTTCGATACGGGCATAGCAACACCTTCACATAATTTGACTGTTACTGTTGACTTATAATACCGACTAGACACCTTCCCGCAGCCCGCACCTCCATAAGCTAGCAAGTGCATTCAGTCGAGCCGCCAAAGAAACCGCTTTCTCTGTTCTATGTTTTTTTGCGGCCGTAGATAAAAAATGAAAATAGTCACTATAAGTTTGTCGTCAACTATATTACATATTAAAAACTGAACAGATGGACTTACAGAATCAAGTTAGACAAAAATTGTGGCCCTGTATAATCGTAACGGTTCGTTTAGTATCGTGGTCGTTAGATATCTGAAAATGTTATTTTTTTAACGAATTAGTGACAATGAATGCCGGTCTCTGGAATATTTCGTGGTATGGTCGTTCGTTTTAGGGTTTGTTATACTTTGGTAAAGATTATATACATCACACAAAAAGGTGCATTTTTCTTTTGGCTGCAAACAGTTTCATCTCACTATTAACCCAATTCCTTAAAGATTATTTTTTTCAAGATATGTAATTTAGCATTTTACGATACTACTTTTACAAAATATCATTAGTGCAATAGGGCGAGTCCACCACTGCCAAACTAAACGGGTCAAACATTATTTGATCGACACAATATAGAATGATGGATCTAGATAAAGAATGAGGCAAAAACAATGAAATTTTCGAAAAACAGCAGTGAAGAAGACAAAAGGCTGCAGCCAAAATAAATTTGAACCGAAAGAAACTTTTCATTGGCTATATACAAATAAATATATCCATATAGAAGCTCTAAAACAACGTAAGCATCAATGAATTTACATTTGCAAGGCCACACAACATTTTTTTCTCTTAACAATATTGAATGCTTATTGTAGACTTTGCCAGTCTTCACGCTAAACTACGGCATAATTTAACATAACCTAAATGAAAAGTTATCACATGTTTCAACTTAAACGTAACTTATATAATAATCACAAGAAACGATTTGTAAGATAATAAAAATCATCATTTATATACACAATATCCAATCTTAGATCAAAAGATTCCTTTACATACATAAGTCACTCCACAAGCTTCTAGAAACGGTCACTTCCTCTCGAATGATTTAAATGTCACGCATAACGTACTTTGGAATCTAGCAATTTATGAATATGAAAACAAAAGAAGAAACTTTCTTTTAACTGTTTTAACTATACCGTGTAACCTACTTTAGAATCTGCAGTCTATGGATATGAAAACAAAAGGAGCAACTTTCTTTCGACTGATTTAAGTATACTGTGTTACGTACTTTGGAATCTAGTGATCTATGAATATGAAAACACAACTTCAAGATTATACAGGGAACGATATCAAACGTAGCAAATAAATGCTGGCGTTTTAAAAGTCACTGGATTTGAATATAAGTAGGAAAAATACATCTTGATATCCAGATATCGCGCCTTGTAGTCATAAGCAAAAAAAAAATCAATAGTCCCAAAATGATATCAACAAAAATAGAAAATATTGTGTTTGAGCACCTGGTTGGATCCAGTTGTATTTTTTCAAATACTCGGTCCACATCTCTCTGGCTCTTTGGTGCAAGACTGAGATAGAAAAAAAGGGTGCTCATTCCCACAGTCAAGTTTAAATCTTGTTGACGATTTAGGTTGAACTGTGAAAATCACTAACTACGAAATAGGGCAAAGAAATTTCGTGGTTATTTCATATAAAAATATAAAAAGCAAAGCTTGAAAGGTATAAGAGACTGATAGGTAGGTAAGTACAATTCAAGTAGGTTTTTTCATATGTAAACAATATACCTACATAATAGATAGATGGGTAATATTTTTTACCTAATATCGTGTAACATATGACATGGTAAATATAAGGGAATTAATTCTAATTTTTGTATTAACAAATTTCACTCAATAGTGGCAGATTTTCCATTCTAAAATTAAACTAAGCCACAAGTCAAATTCTTTTATGTTCATATAAATTTAAATCAGATATTTGTATAAAAATTCGTATACTGAATCCATCTTTATCATAATTCTAGTGAAATGGTTGGTTCCTTTTGACTGAAAAAATTGGGTTAGATAAGAAATTAAAAGCAAAAAAACAATATAGTTTTAAATCCAAATTAAGTCTTAAAGCCCTAAGGTCTGAATAATTTTCCTTTTTTTACTAAAAACCACCACTGAGTGATCTCCCTATGAAACGAAACTTTGCTGAGAACCAAATCTGCCTAATACAAAAATCCAATACTATAAAAACAAGTCACTAATAGACATTTATGTATTATCCACTTCACCAACCTTGAATATTCGAAATGTGTGGCAGAATTTTGAAATAACACCCAAATCTCGCCGGTCTTTGTGCCTGTACAAATGTTGAGAATCTCTTCAAGTGCAATAATATGAGGCGAATTTACATCAAAATTCTACCAAACATATAGTGGTATCAATTCGCTTTTTATTTGTTGAAAAACCATCAAAGAAAATAAGTAATGCTTTTATTCACAATGATAAAATCATGACTAATAGTGTGAACTTGAGTTTCACGTAAAGAAACATCTTTTAATAATAAACAAACTCAAAATGTATCGTTATAAAAAACGAATTTACTTCAAAATTCTACCAAACATATAGTGGTATCAATTCGCTTTTTATTTGTTGAAAAACCATCAAAGAAAATAAGTAATGCTTTTATTCACAATGATAAAATCATGACTAATAGTGTGAACTTGAGTTTCACGTAAAGAAACATCTTTTAATAATAAACAAACTCAAAATGTATCGTTATAAAAAACGAATTGAGACTTTTAAAACACTTAACCTGTCTTTTTTACTTTTGTGTTTGAGAATCGAAGGATTATATTTATAATCAGAACCGTCCAACGTCAGCAATGACAGCTGACCTTGGCACCAGACCTTTCTGGTTGCCCCTACAACACAGTAACCACTTTTCGTCCACTTCTAACACCACTTGAAGTTTCTCGCCTTTGTTGTACGATAAATGACCACTTTCTGAGGGAAGTCGGTGGTTCAATGTTTTCACAACCCTGTAACAATAGAAAATATTCCATCACACATCACGGTCTTTTCCTTTGAGCAGGAACTACGAAATTTTGTTTTTAACAATTACAATAAACCCCAACAGTACAGATACCATTTAGAGAGAAATATACAGTACAATGATTTAATTTTCACAGATGTCATAAAATGAAAAAACAAAAACAAAATAAATAAATAAAAAAGAACGGCGCTTTAGGTAGAGAGAAAGAACACTATGAATAAGATTAATGGATAACAGCAGAAAAAAGTATATAGCTATAATATCCACACATAAATATATAGCCCAGGCTACAGAAAAAAAATAGGTATTTCGTGTAAAAAAGTTTAGCAGATATCTGAAAGTTTTAAATGAAGGGAGGGCTCTTTCTAATGACAAATACATAAAAAGTACAGCCAGTTATGCCTTGTTTTTTATAAAAAATGGGAAAAGCTCAAAATTCAGTATTTTGCTTGTATAATTTTTTAAATTAAATTTTATAAATAATCAGTAAACTGCAGTTCTAGAGCATAAAAATATGTTCAATTTTATTTTTCAATAATAAAAATCGAGAAACAATTAAGCTAAATACGGGGCTTTATATCAATATTGAATAAATGTTTATAACTATTACAATAACGATTGTCAATGGCTAAGAATTTGTGAGAATGAGGGCATCATTGGTGTTAATATGTGCCGGATTGGTTTAATAGTTTATGTAAAAAGCTAACTGTTTATTCCAGTGACGAATTATTTAAACAACTGTTCTTGCCCAAGATATGGATTCTTGAAGGTTTCAACTTCAAGAATTTATGTAAAAATTAATTAATTATTTTGAAATTGTTGTTAAAAATGATGTTAAAAAATTGCCATTTATTTTAACAAGTTCATCTGGATGGATAGGTGATTAAAAAACGCATATACCGAAGATAATTTTTTTTTAAATTCATATCTCCTTTGTTTATAAACAATTAATACTATTAGTTCAAAGGTCTTTAAGAAATAGCCACCTAAAGTGACGGTACTCGCGTAAATATTTCCGGGTGAGGTGGTGGGGGAATCAGCTCTAGCCCGATTTATTTTTTGAAATTGAATCTTTAAATCGGAGCGCGCGGTAAAATTTTGCATTATCTCTGCTTCCAAGCAACGTAAATCCGTCCTTTATTAATATGGGGTAACTCGTCGAAATAATGACATCTGGCGAATTTTCATTTTCCTGGAAAATCGCGAAATCCCAGAAAACCTAACACGATGTAGTCTTTAAAATTAAATTATTATAATATTATATTAAATAATAATAATAAATTAACAATAAATCGTTTACTTTTACTCTCACTCTAATAAAATAATTTATATGTTAAAATAAAATTGTTTAAACAATCCATAGTTCAGTTAATTGATACTCTTAACAAAATACACTCTAATATTGATTCACGTTTGCCTTACATTTATATTTATTTTATTTTCATTATAGGTGTTATAATATTATACAGGGTGACGCATCGTAAACGAAACAGACGCATTTACTGGCAGCTCAGTTTTTTTTTAAAAACGCTCAGATCCGTCGATTTTGTTTTTGTGGGGGCACAAGTTTGGCAAAAAATCACGTTAGCACGTGCAGCCCCCTAAGCGGGGGTGACACCACCCCCAAAATCTTAAATGGAAAGGGGGGTCGAGTGATACCTTATTTTAAAGGTCTTTCAATTCCCTTTATAATGATATAAAATTAATGTACTTCAGTTCAGTAGTTTTGAAGATTTATTGATTTAAAGCTTAAATAAAACTAATGCATTATTAGTGGAGATCAATACATTTGGCAGCAAAGTAATTTAAAAATGAAGGATGAACTGACCCGTTAGGCAAGTAAATGTTGAAAATGGCCACCCTGACTCTCCATGCAATAATAAAGATTTTGCTCAAAACGTTGCCGCACATTTTGCAATATTTGAGGAGTAATTTGAAGACACTCATTCACAATTTTTTGTCGCAGGTCTTATAATGATGTTGGCTGACTAGCATAGATTTTGGTATTTAAATGACCCCACATTAAGAAATCCAAATGTGATAAATCTGGCGATCTTGGGGGCCATTTAATGGCACCTCCTCTACCAATCCATCGATCTGGAAACGTCTGATCTAAACATTGTCGAACACGTAATGCGTAATGTGGTGGGGCACGATCCTGTTGGAACATCAACCTATTCGCAATGTACCGCCGATCATTCTGTTTTTCAATTATGGCTGTTAATGCAGGATCTAAGGCGTCTTCCAGTAATTCCAAATACATTTCACCGGTCAAATTTCCAGGTAAGAAAAAAGGACCAACTAAATGATCGGGAAAAATACCAGCCCAAACATTTAATTTTTGTGGCTGCTGTGTATGAACCTCATGATAAATTCTGGGAATAGAATCAGACCAATAATCGGCAGTTATGACGATTTACTACGCCATTTAAGAAAAAGGAACATTCGTCGGAAAAGTGTTGAATCGAAAATGTTCATCGTTTATAATTCTTTCACTCATATCTTCACAAAATTGTAATCGCCGATCAAAATCGTCTTGATTAAGTTCTTGTACCAGGTGAATTTTATACGGATGAAAACTATGGGCCTTTAGAATCCGTTGGATAGTACGTCTCCAATTTGCGGGTACTTAACGTAGGATCTACATAAACTTGCCCTAAAACCCTCACTTCTATTGCTTCGTTCCTTATGGGATTTTCAATGTTGCGTTTTTTTATTGGCGACTGTCCCAGTTTCCCGAAATTTAGCTACAAGTTCTAGAACATATTTTCGATGCACGTTACTGTTCTCATGTCGCTCATTAAATATTTCTGCTGTTCTATTAGCTCACTGATTATTTCCGAAAAATATTTCGATAACTTCAACTCTTTCTGCTGTGGAATATACTATGGTTAATTTATGTAATAAAGCGTTACAAGTTATTTTAGCAATAAAGTAAACTATGTACTAAATTCCTATTTAAAATAAGTACGAGATATTTCCTTATCTTTCTTCAAGAAATAACTTTTTTGCCACAAAAAAACGCTCCAATAGCTATTTTCAACAACAAAATGATAAACAAACCATGGGCGTAGTGAAGAAAAGCATTTACTTATTAAGTGAATTCTTTTAGTCAAATTTCTTCTGAAAGTAGTACAAACTAATCTGATGTACCTATTAAAGTCTACTTTAAGCTTTAAATCAATAAATCTTCAAAACTACTGAACTGAAGCTCATGTATTTTACATCATTATAAAGGGAATTGAAAGACCTTTAAAATAAGGTATCACTCGACTCCCCTTTCCATTTAACATTTTAGGGTTTGTGTCACCCCCGCCCAGGGGGCTGCACGTGTTAACGTGATTTTTTGCCAAACTTGTTCCCCCTCGAAAACAAAATCGACGGGTCTGAGCGTTTTTCCCAAAAAAAAACTGAGCTGTCAGTAAATGTTTCTGTTTCGTTTTCGATGCGCCACCCTGTATAATGTATTTTTTATTATATTTTACTATTTAATTAATCTTGATCCGCAGTTCTAAATCTTTTGTTTGGAAGCTCTACATCTTCTTCAATAATTGTATAATTCATTTCTTCAAATGTAGCACTTTGTGTCATCATCACCAAAATTTAAAGTAAAATTGCGAAATCACTTGTTAAAACTACAATTATAGCTTGCCCAGCACTTACATCATACATCATATGGCTTGAATTTACTAATTCTAAGTTGTTTACAATTATACTGTTTATGTAGCCAAATGTGCTAAATAAATCTTTCTACTACTACTATTACAATTTATGTACAACAGTGTGCAATGTAACCCATGTTTTTTTGCAACTACACCTACCCGTTTGGCAACCAGTAGAACATTTGCAGAATATTTGTTTGATAGTACTTGTATTAAAATGTTCATAGTTGTCACTTCGCCTCCATCCGTACTTGATTGGATTTAATTTATTGACTAACCATGTTTGTAACTGGTAATATACCCGTAAGTTTTTTTTAACGATGCGTTTTTGAACCATCTGTCCAGATCAACTTGTTAAAATAAATTATATTTAAAAATAGCGACGTTATTGTAAATGTTTATAACTATAAAAACGGCTATTTTTTTAGCATCGTCTTCAACAACAATTTTGAAATGAATAATTAATTTTTTGAATAAATTTTTGAAGTTGAAACCTTCAAGAATGGATTTCCGTTTAAGTAATTCGTCTCTGGGATAAACAATTAGCTTTTTACATAAACTATTAAACCGATCCGGTTGAAATTTAGCACACTTAATAACACCAATGATTCTCACAATTTTTTTTAGCCATTTACAATTGTTATTGCAATAGTTATAAACATTTATTCAATATTGAAAAAATCCCCGTATTTATTAACTTGATTGTTTATCGATTTTAATTCTTAAAAAACAAAATTGATGGTCTTTTTATGCTCTAAAATCTTCAGTTACCTATTGTTTATAAATTTAATTTGAAAATTATACAAACAACATACTGAATTTTGGGCTGTATCTTTTTACGTATTTGTCATTAGAAAGACTCCCATTTGAAACTTTCAGATATCTGCTAAACTTTTTTCACCTCTTTTCATCTACAGGGCTTGGACTAATTTAACGAAACCGAACAGATAAATGGATAAAAAAAGTCAAAGACGTGAGTGTATAGCATTTCGTAATTCCTGGAATCTTGCCAGCTAGAAACAGATGTTTGCAGCTTCAGGTCATCAGCAAACATAAGCTTCTTGTATGATAATGGACTGCAAAGATCGTTGACGTATGCAAATAGGGGACCCAATTTGAACCTTGAAGTACACTGCTACTTGATATGTATGTGTAAGAAGCGAGTTGTCAAGTCTCATTTAAATAAGATAGATTCAAGTAATAACCCCATGTATTCAATTTTTTGTATAAATATATAGTTGATGGTCAATGTTGTCATCCACTTGCGCATAAATATTGACTGAACGTGGCCAAAGTAGTAATAGTGGATCTCTGCTCATCAAGCCATGCTGCTTTTTAAATAAAATGCACTTTGTTTTTTTTAAGAGAGAATAGACCCAGACTTAGTATTTTAAACAATGTTCAAACAGAATTTACTTAGGCGTGGAGGGTCGACTGAGAGGTCTCCGACTCAAAGAACTGGAAGCTGCCCTTCTTGGAGGAGTAACCTTCGAACCTTTCACATTCTCAGTGCATTTATATGGTAAACTGCTTGGCCTTTGTACATGTCTTGCTCCATCAGTCTCAACTTGATCCACTCTACTCGTTCTGTGGACAAAAACACTCAATAGAATCATACAAATACACGGTTATTATTTTATTATAACAAGCTTTTAACCTGTACCAAAGGAAAATTATCTAGACAGTCTTCTAGATCATGTTGCAACAATTGAAGATACCATTCTGTAGTTAATGAGTTGTGGTAAATAAATGGACCTAATATTTTATTATTTTAGTGTTGCGGCGATTGAACCATATTCATTTAAATTTCGAGCCAACTCTAAGAAAATGGACTTACTTGGCTGCCTTCTTTCGGGAAATTTATAAAGATACAGATGCAGTATTTTTAGTACAAAATGTAGCCCAACAGCATGTTGAACTTTTCTTAATTGCTAAAATGGCCGACTGGTGTCCTTGAGGATAATGCAGCAATATTAACAATACATAATAATAACAATACTCGGTGACAGGTATTTACGTCAAGTCAAGCATTTGTGTGCAGCGCCTACTTAAAAAATAAAAGAATATTAAAAAACGAATTGCAAAATACTTTTTTCGGGCCATAAGAAATAAAATTGCTGATGGTTTTCTAAAAAACGAAACATTGGTCACAAAACTTGAAAACACCATCATGTAGTGACTAAAAAGTGCCAATGAAACAGTTCAATTAGTTTTTTGATATTTCTTAAAATAAAGTCAGAAAAAAAAATAAAAACGATTTGGCCAAATTTTAGGTTTTCCCAAATACCTCAGCAAGTCAAAATTCTTAGAAATGTCTCAATGGCATGTAAATACGACCCAGAGAACGCAACTTTTCCTTAATTTAACCTAAGCTGTATCTCCCACAGGCAGACTGCTATTTCGTTAATTCCAATTCTATGTGAAATGTTTGGCCTATTTAGTTATCTGACTGCTATGTTGAATTATCGTGGATGCAGTTTAAGAATGCTCATTGGAAATCAGCTCATTATTTTGTTTTGAACATTCTCACCTATTGCTGATAACTGGCCTCTTGTTAAGGGCTCCTTTAGAATTTGCTTTCGGGATTCCAGTAGGTGGAGGCTTTGCAGTGACAGGTACCTTACTGACAGGAATAGGAATGCCTGAAGGTCTGATTGGTGACGTTATGGGCCTGGGGATCTTCGACTTTGTATGGGTTGGAGATTGAGGTGGAGATTCCGATTCGGATTTTTGTACTGAGAGCATCTCCCATTTTTGCTGTAGTTTTCTGAAATATAAATTAAGATTTGAAAAAATTGCGTTAATACTTGTGAATTTGAAAGGGGGGAGCTGAGGATCTAGACATTCGAGGGGAAAACATATAACAGCTGGATTGACTTTGTGTATTTGGGGGGTAACGTTACATCGGAGGGAAGCGAAAAATGTATCAAGGATAGAATAGTTACAGGAAAGAGAGAGATAACAGCATTAAACTCAGTATTATAGCTGATCGTAATGTAAAAAAACCATATTTATCTATCATTTTCACATTCAAATTAAAAAATCATTACCACCACATTTAGAAAACTTCACAAAATCAAATAGTAGTAGAACTAGAGGCAGTTTACATTTTCATCTGTAAAATTGTAACCGGCCGCGTGGTTGTGGTTAGATGTCGCCTTGAAAGGTATTCTGGCCATTATACTGCAGTAGGTTGGCTCTTGTTGGTACCTTCGTGTGTCATTTTGTTCTCTTTATATCTTCATTTCCTTAGGTTACAAACGTATCCGGTTATATGGGCATGTGTGTATACTTTATCTGAAGTCACTTGAAACACTGTGAAATACCGGGTGCGTTTTATATATCTATATTTAACACGCTCTGTTGCTGCAAAAATCGCCAAATTTCGCAGCAAATATCCCCCGTATAAGATCAAAGGCAGTTTCACCGGTCCACGTGGAGTAAAGCACGCCTATGCGTGGACATAGCCAATGAGAAAGCGTGTATTTCAGAGCTCGGAACAAGTGCAGGTGGCTACTGAAAATTGAAACAGTTTAGCCAGTGCCGTGTTATAATTACAAATGCTTAGACTCACTGCACTGTATTGTAAAACCGTGTGGTTTTCAATACAAAAAATTAGATAAAAGAATGGTGATTATGCAGTCGTCTCGAATCGTTGAATTTTTGCACAAAGTTAAAATCTATAGAGAGCAGAAAAGAAATCTGATTTACCTGGATGAAACGTGGTATGATACCCATGATGTTGTGCAGTACGGCTGGGTTGACGACAGCAACAAGTGCATTTTAAATGCACCATTCAACCGTGGAAAACGAATCATTATTCTCCATCTGGCAGTGAAAATGGATTTATACCTAATGCCTTGCTGTTATCTGCCAAAAATATCAAAGAATCATGTGCCGACTATCATGAGGACATGACCTCCGACTTATTTGAAAAGTGGATAGAGCAGCAGTTAATACCAAACATTTCCCCAAATTCACTGATTATTATGGACAATGCGCCATACCATTCTCGACAGAAAAACAAAATTCCGAATACAGGGACAAAAAAACAAGACATTATTGATTTTATGAAGGATAAGGGAATGGAAATACCACAAAAATCAACCAAAGCCATATTATTGGATCTTATTAAAAGACAAAAATTTGAAAAAGAGTATGTTGTTGACAATCTGATTCAGCAAAATGGCCATGAAGTATTACGTCTACCTCCCTATTACTGCATTTTTAACCCGATTGAGTTAGTCTGGGCTGCTTTAAAAAAAAAGTAAGAAAACATAATCAGACCCCTCAATTAAGTGAATCGCTATTGGCCACAATAAGAGATGCAGTATCTCATATTGCTGCCACAGACCTATGGAAGCAGTGTTCTAGGCATATTATTGAAAAAGAAAATGAATATTGTGTTTTGCCTCCTGTAAATCCCGTTGTAATTCCTCTACAAGATGACTCTAGCGACAGCTCCGAAGGCGAGGATGATATATAAATACCTATAATGTAAGTCTTTATATACCTTTTTATATACCTACCTGCTATGTAAATATTTGCCTATGTCAAACGTTGGAATTCTGTAATTTTTCCATTTCTTAACTTCTTAACAGTCAACATAAATTAAACTCCCAATACGTAGCTAGAGGCTGCCCTCAGGGTGGAGTTCTGTCACCCCTACTGTGGTGTATCGTGGTGAACGAACTGCTCGTTAGGCTCAGCAGTATGGGTGTCTACGTGCAAGCCTATGCTGATGACGTAAGCATAGTGGTTAGGGGGCGTTTCTGTAGAACAGTCTCGGAAATTATGCAGGGCGCTCTGCGCTCCGTGGAATCGTGGTGTAGGGAAGTCGATCTTTCTGTTAATGCTGAAAAGACCGAGCTGATCCTATTCACTAGGAGAAGAAGGCTTGACGGACTGGTCATGCCTACCTTCTTTGGGACTAGATTAGTTTTGTCCCAGTCAGTGAAATATCTGGGAATTATCCTGGACTGCAAACTGAACTGGAGAGAGCATGTGGAACACAAGGTTAGCAAGGCTCGCAATTCGATGTGGGCTTGTAGACGTGTTGTCGGTGTAAGGTGGGGGCTTAAACCCAAAGTGGTATACTGGCTCTACACGACGATAGTACGTCCATCTCTCTTGTACGGCTCCCTGGTGGCCTTGCATTAGAACTGAGTCAACTAAGGCCAAACTCAATAAAATTAAGCGTTTGGCCTGTATTAGCATTACAAGCGCAGTGCGAACAACGCCATTGAGTGCAATGGAAGCTCTGTTGGATCTCCCACCGTTGGATCTGGTGATCCGCGGTGAAGCGAGAGTAGTCGCTCATCGACTGTGGAGTCAGGGCAGCTGGGCTTTCTTGAATCCGGTCAAGGGGCATACTGCCATATTAGTCGAATTAGAAAGGGAGGACCCCGTCCTTCTAAGCAGGGGTGATCGTATTACCCCTAAATATCGCTTCAACCGCAAGTTCATTGTGGAGTACCCAACGAGGGAGGAGTGGGACGCCGGTAGCCGAAGACTCTCCGAAGTGAGCGGGCAGGTCTGGTACACGGACGGCTCGGTCACCGAAGAGGGCTCAGGTGCTGGGGTCTCTGGACCTAGAACTAGGCTATCTCTGCCTCTCGGTGAGTACACCACCATTTTCCAGGCGGAAATCTTTGCGATTCTGGCTTGTGTATCTCACATTCTGGAGGAGGGTGGGCCTAGGAGAAGAATAACAATCTTATCCGACAGCCAGGCTGCAATGAAAGCACTAAGTGCATGTAAGATTACTTCGAGTCTTGTATTGCAATGCAGGGAGGCTCTGGATTGCCTCGCAGCGAGGCATCCGGTATCGTTAATATGGGTACCGGGGCACGCTGGGATAAGGGGCAATGAGACGGCGGACACTCTGGCGAAAACAGGATCAGCCAGCAAGCTCGTTGGTCCTGAGCCAGCTCTAGGAGTAACCGCGCATAAAGCTAGGAGGAAAATGGAGACGTGGGTTGCAAGACAACACTCTCAGAAATGGAGAAGTATCTCTAGACATCTCCGCCAGGCACGAGAGCTCATTGAAGGGCCCAGTGCTAAGGATGGACGCTTCTGCCTATCTCTGGGTAGAGCCAACCTAAGGTTGCTGGTGGGACTGTTGTCTGGCCATAACACGTTAAGGCGGCACCTGCACGTGATGGGGGTGGCTGAGGATCCCTTGTGCGAACGCTGCGGAGTAGAGGAAGAGACCTCGGCGCACGTTTTGTGTCGCTGTGAAGCTCTGAGCTACTATAGGCAGACTATACTGGGGTCCATTACTTTGGACCCTCAGGACGTAAAGGAGCTTGGACTCAAGGCGATTCTCAACTTCGCTAAAAGGGCGAGGCTTGTGATTTAAGTATTGTAGAGGTGCATAAGGGCCCGCTTAAGCGGCCTATGCATTGGCTCCTTATGGTGGCCGGGATGCCTCTAAAATTCAAGATTCATTCATTCATTCAAACTCCCAATATAAGTATTTTTTATCCCAAATCAAAAAAATAAGAAGATAGTAAAATCCATTTATTGTGATATAAAAACATCATTATTATCGTTCTAAATAAATGACCGCACGCCTATGATACGTCATGAAATTACAAAGGACGCGCCGACCAAAGGTTTTTATGCTATTTCAAGTGACTTCAGATAAAGCATACTCTTGTAGTTGGATATGTGCATTCATTTCGGGACTGATGAAGTCAACAAGCACAAATACGTATTACTCGGGTTATCTATCCCATTTCCTGCTCGAATGCACTTTCCTTCTTTTTGCGGATTTTGCCCTTATAATTAACTTACAAAAATTATAGATATTTCTATTTTGTTTTTAGTCTTTACTTTTGTGATGTGTGATATGTCACGAAAATTATGTTTCGATTTTTCAAAATTTTGACATCGAGCTCGAGGTTCGCCACCACTGGCCTAGACTTTCGATTCATCAGTGCTAGATATCAGAAATATTTAGTATTTGGGAGGGTAACTGACAAAGACCGCTCCACAATTTATTTATTGATTTATTATATTGCTGATATAAATTAATTTGAATGTATTTTTTTACTGATTTTTGAATACTCCTTAATATTGTCCATATAACCTATTTTGACATTTTCCTTGGATTTTGAGAACAAACCCCGATACTGCTACAAAGTAGAACTGGGAATAGCTTCCTTTTGTAGATTGTTCCACAATCTTGACACTCTCGGAACAAAAGACCGGTCGTATCGGCCAGTTCTGGATGTACGAAGTTCGACACGGTTAGGATGGGGGCCAAAGTCAGGCGGGTCTGTCTGGCAGGCACATCGCGCGGCGGCATCAGAATAAAGGATTTATTCCTCCATACCGACGTGCATAATTTCGGTTATCGAAGAACAGAAAGGCGACGCATCCGCATCAGTAAAACAGACATCTCTCCAAGGAAAGGTAGAGAAGCCTCTAAGCAGGCTACTGGCATGTGACGAGACGCGGGGAAAAAGTGGGCTCGTCACCAGCTGGGTTAGCCTTTGAGTAAACGCGAACGCTTCAACTGCATGACCTACTGCATCGGTCTTATTTGAGCCCAACCAAAGATCATTATGGGCATTGAAATCACCGACGAGAACTACCTCTGAAGTGCGGTGATTGAGCTTCAGGAAGTCGATCTTGACAGGGAGGAATTCACCTACCTGTTTATTGCAACTTTTTATTTTATTATCTGTATATTGTTTGACAATAAACGTCGTAATTATTATCATTACCAAGTAGTTCGACTAATGATTTTCTCTTACCTGAATCTCTTCCCATTCAATGGCTTCTCATCGGAGAAGTTGGAATCCAGCGACTCGAGCTCTTTCTCCTCCTCAATTTTCTTCGTGTCCGTCTCCAAACTGTCAACATACTCCTCCTCCTTAAGCAGCTTGTCGTATGCCTGGTACAGCTTCGAGTTCATAGCGATGCCCGACCACCGCTTTTTGACCACATCGTCGTCGCCCAGTTTGAAGGACATTTTTGTATTTGAGTCCACGTAGGAACGGGGTCGTTCCCTGGATCTCGTCGGTGAGGAACTGAGGAGGTCAGGTAGACCGGTGTTAGAGTCGGGACTGCCATGTTTTTGTGAAGGAAACTGTTTTAAGTTGGACAAGGGAGAAAGCTGTAAATAAATAATAATGATGATAATATTTATTCATATCAATTATAATAAATTGTGAATAAATTGATGTCACAAAAGGAAAATATCCTTGAGTGTGGATATCATTCTAAAACATATAACAGTAGTTTTATAAAAAATCTATACAATATAAATATGTATTTTGTATCATAGATTAGCAATGCGGAAAAGATATTTATCAGGGTGGCCCAACGAAAAGATCGCCCAACATTTTTTACTCTCCTGGTACATTTTGAGAAAAACGCTCAGACAAGCCAATTTTGATTTCTAGGGGGACGTCTTTTAATCCATAGCTGTACAATACAGGGTGATCAAAAAATAATATATTGCGTTACTTTTTAGATTCTCCATGAAGTTTTTAGTAACTTTTCTATAATATCTATCTATCTAAACTCAAATAGCTTCACAACGATTGAAGATAGGAATTAACTTTAATATACAAAAGTTACTAAAAACATCATGGAGAATCTAAAGTATAACGCAACATCTTATTTTTGGATCACCCTGTAGACGTCCCCCTACAAATCAAAACTGACGTGTCCGAGCGTTTTCCAAAATATATACCAGGAGAGTCTCAAATTTGGATGCGGCCTTTTCGTTGGGCTACCCTGTATTTGTAATTAATAAGAATTGAACAAAAGAAAAAAATACAACGTAGAGCTCTGTAAGTGCAACCTAATATGCTTATGGAAACATTTCACCTTAACGGGGCTCCTACAATCACGAGCACCATCTGCTGAGGTAACGGGGGGTGAAAAGGAAACGAGGGTGGGATGGGCCTAGACGGTCGTCGGCGCTACTTTAAAAGAGGAAAGGATGACTGCGGGTGCATACCAAGGTAGATTTTTATAATAACAGAGTCGGATTTTGATTAACGATCTAGAAGTAAATCGTTTCTTATTTTGGTACTCAGCAAGTGATCATTTAGTATTTTTCTCCCCTTGTTACTATTCGTCGATATTGTGTTGTTGAATTGTTGTTGGTGTGATTGCTCTTCAAGTGCCTTTTTTATCAAGGCTGATAATGGACAATAAAGGGTCATATGCGAACATTTTAATTACCAATTCAGTGAGTTCAATTCATGATGAGGTCAACAATAGTGTGGAGCAAAATACATTGGGGTAAGCGAATAAATTATTGCAAGAAGAGGTCATACCATGGAAGATGTGCTGCAGCTGTAGTGAGCCACAATACCCAGTAGCCAGTATATGTGGTCTAAATACATTTGCGTTCTAAGCTTAGTCCAACCTCGCTTATCGCTAAGATGGAACAAAGACTCAAACGCAAGAATCTTGTAAATAAACTCAGACCAAAAAAAGCTGATATAAAAATAACTAACAATTCGGATAGCAATTAAAAAAAAAAATGAATAGTTCAGCCTTGTGGTTTGTTGATTGATCGGACACATCCATTTCTGGCAGCATCGCCTCCATCTACCTATAACAGTAGACACAACAAAGTAATGTACTCAATTCAGGTATAAGCCTACCTGTTTATTGCTTTGCAAAAACTAAAGTTGGACCAGCGAAAGATTGCAAGCCGAAAGAATGCGGACAAAAAATTGCGAAGTTGTCAGATGTTCTACATAAAATGCGGTCCATACATATTAACATATTTAAGATATAGAATTGTTCCGCTGAATTTGGCAATGTAGCTGGAAAACCCAGGCCGCAGGTAAACATCCGGTCGCTGATTGGTCCAAAACTCTTATCTTATCTGAAACTAGAATAACGTGCCGATGGCACGGTCATTTATAAACCTACTCCCATAGGCGTAGGCAGTTGGCAAATACTTTGAAAATATAATTTACTGTTTAGTGGTGATAATGGAATTCAAGCATGGGAAAGTTATTCACAGCCAGGCAAGGGAAATAATAGCAAACGTGATACGTGCTTGCGATGCAGAAGCGGCTAACAATACTTTCGTTTATCCACTGGTAGCTAGAAATGCAAGGGCGGCATATTATACGGGTGTTAGTGAACGAACTATAAGTAAAATTAGAAAAGAAGATAAAGACAGGCAAAATGCAACCTCCACACAGCCTTTAGCTTCTCCCGGAAAAAAGAGATCACGCCCTTCTGTGATCCAAAAAATTGATGGAGTCGATTTTTCCATTATTCGGAGAATGATAGAAAAATTTTACTGTGATTTTAAAGTGGTACCTACTTGTAGTAAACTTCTAATCAAACTGAAGGAAGAAATGGAATTTCCATTTGGTAAAGAATCGTTGAGGCTGCTTTTAAAAGCAAAAGGATTTTACTGGCGTAAATGCCACAACAAAAGGAAATTACTAATGGAAAGACCCAGTATTTTACATTGGCGATACAAGTATCTTAGGTCTATTAAAAAGTTCCGGGAAGAAGGAAGGCATATTATTTATTTGGACGAAACTTGGGTTGATAATGACCTCACTTTCAAGAAATGCTGGCAAAGCGAAGAAATTATGGGTGTCCTGAGCAATATAAGTTCTACAGGTAATAAAGTTTCTTTCACCTCGATTTTGCTTATTATACATTTTTCTCAATTTTGGAATATTCTTAATAAGTGCTCATTTAATTTGTCTAATTGAATACATAATCCCTTGCAAGTATTTTTTTCTCAAAAATATGTTTTTTATACATAGTGATTCAAAAAGGTGTTGGCAAACTTAAAATAACACTAAAATGAGGCTATTTATTCATTTCCAGGACGACTTATAATTGTTCATGCGGGTTCGCAAGATGGTTTTGTTCCTGGAGCCTGTCTCATTTTCAAGGCTGGCTGTGCCACTGGTGATTATCACGGTCAAATGAACCAAGAAAATTTCACGAAGTGGCTTACTGAAAAACTATTTCCTAACATTCCTCCTAATAGTATTATAATAATGGATAATGCACCTTACCATTCAGCTTTGGAAGACAAGCCTCCAACTAGATCTTCTCTAAAAAGAGACATCATCACGTGGTTGAGCAAAAAAGGTATAGAGCATGATCCTAATGCTAAAAAAATGGAGCTTTATGAAATAGCTTGTCTACATAGGCCACCATCTGATGAGAAAAATTATAAGATAGATAATTTAATAAGAAGTTTCGGACACACCCCACTTCGAACGCCACCCTATATGTGTCAGTTTAATCCCATAGAGATGATTTGGGCACAAGTAAAATTTTTCATTAGAAGCCATAATACAAGCGGCGAATTTACTATAAAAAAACTAGATGAAATTTCTAATAAGGCCATCGCTTCAGTAAGTGCCAGTGACTGGCAAAAGGTTATTGGACATGTTATAAAAATTGAAGATGAATATTGGGAAAAAGACAGTCTCATTCAAGAAATACAGGAAGAAATAATAATCAACATAGGAGGTGAAAGTGATAGCAATGACAGTTCCTCAGACAGTGATCATGACTCTAATCAGGATTGAAACTATACTAGATTGGCTACCTTTTAGAATTTTTAGATATTCATTTATTATACTATTGGTTTGTGGCTTTTAGTATCTCAGTAGAAAGTCTAATTCTATGTGTTGTTTATGGGTTATTTCATCAAGAAATTACTTTTTGTTTTCCTATATTTTTCTATTCAGTCAGATATTTTTGACTTGTTGTATTCTATTTTAGAAGAATGCATAATTTGTTTTGCTGTTCAATCATAATGCGTACATAGGAATATTACTTGTTGCCTAAAAAATATATTTATTTTGTTCTCAATATTCAGTGTTTGTGTATATTTATTTCTTATAATGTATGTTTGGTATCACGTCATTATGAATCGCAAAAAAATATTAATACTACCAGTTGTAATAAAATATAAATTCAATTAATAATTCAAGTCTCTCCGATCTCCGCCTATGACTCCATATAAAATCGTCTAATGGTAAGGTTTTTTCATCGCATTTCCCCCTTTCGTCCCTAGCAATCTTTGGCTGGTCGATCAATACCTAACTGTTTCCTCTTATTTTGACGGCAAAAGATATTTTTATGACTCTCATTCAATGGTTACTATGTACCACATGACCCTTGTAAACATAATTGTGTTTACTGACATGAATAAACGAATTTTAATTTGAGTTCTTGAATTTATTTTAGGAAAGATATCAAATTATTTGAATACATTTTTTCTTAGTCGGAAAGCACCGTCGCGTCGCTTGGACTGGCAGGACGAAACAGTAGACGAATTTCGCCCAAAAACCGATTTGCGCTTCACAGCTTACGTTTCATTTTTTATTATTTCCAAATGAAACTCTTGCAGCGTGCTAAAAACAAAGTCCACAGGGTGCTAACGATCCACTTTTTCGATTTTATCCACTAGGATCTTTTTGAAATATCAAGAAGTTGAGCACAAATTCGATAGTAAGCATTTCAATCCATAATTCTTGGGCAAAGACAAAATTTTGTAAAACGCTCTGATAGCACCTTAGGCAATTATGTCCTGCTTATATCCAGAAAAACATCACAAACTGCAGAACACAAATTGAACGTAACGGCGAAATGGGTACATTTCATGGCTCATGGAAATCAATTGAAATGCCTGTATAAAATCTACCAAATTATCGTTCTCAAAAACATATTTCCTTGACATATCGATAATTTTAAAGTTCCACGCTAAATTCTCCTATACTTGACTAGAGTGATATCCCAATTCATTCTTCCCTACTGTCGGCAGTTGCAAATAGATCTGTTGGCTCTTGGTGTCAAATCTATAGAGCAGGTACCGATTTTTTCAAATCGTGAGGCACATTATTCGTCGAATTTTCGTTACTTAAATTTCCTACAATCACTGGGACCAGAAGCTTCTTAATAATAGAACGTGATTCACTGATATCAAAGATACAACATTCAGAATCACCTTCCCCCAACCCCCACTTTTTAATCAGTATTTTTTTCTGTCAATGATAAGGAACCCCTAATGTCAAAAATGGATTTTCAGCAATTGTTACTTTTTCTTTTTTGCCGATAGCACCGTTGCCACTGGACTAAAACTACAAAGCTTTGGCATACTAGTAACCCCGTGTGGAAATTTCATAAAAATCCGAGCGGTTATTTCCAAGTTGATGAGTGATACAGTTTTTCGTGATGTAGATGTCATACAGGTATGTCATAAAAAACATAACATCTCATTTTAGAAATTTTTCGCGATTACAATACTTCCTCGCCAATGACGTGGGAAGTAAAACGGCTTTAAAATCGAGGAGTATCAGCGAACGCGATTATGAGTACCTATTTGCAGAACGACTTATCTACGCGATATTATATGAAATAGGGACACCAAATTATCTGAATACGTCCTTTCGTAGTCAGTACATTGCGCTGCAACGCTTGGGTTGGCAGCACGAAACAGTAGACAAAATTCGTCCAAAATACGATTTGTAAAGGTTTGCGCGCTTCGAAATTGACGCTTTATTTTTTGATATTTTTGGATGAAATTTTTACAGAGTGCTGAAAACAAAACCCCACGGGGTGCTATAGAGCCACTTTTTCATTTTTTTAAACTAGGTTCTTTTTAAAAAAATCGCGAAGTTGAACAGAAAAAGTACGCACTTCAACCCATCATAAAACAAAATTTCAAAAAGTGCTTCTATAGCACCCTGGGCAATTATCTTCTCAACATACTGTATGAATTTCATTCAAAAATATTGAAAAATGGAGTGTCAGTTTTGAAGCAGCTGAACTCTTGTAAATGGCTTGACACTCATGGCTTCGGAGCCGCCTTAAGACGATTGAAGATAACTATTATTGAGACTAGCAGCGTTATAGGCAAATGTGCATTGGAAAAGTTAGGTGTAGTGATGGGGTTTTTATAATATTCAATGTACATAGTCGTGCCATAAGTTCTGTCCCATGATAATCTCATGATAAAAATGAAACAAGATAAGATATATTTATATGAAAGATATTATTTATTCGACAACATTTTTAGAATTCATAATCAAACAGTTTTATTCAAAATGTCCCCCCTTGGCCTTCACACACTGCTTCAATCTCGCGGGCCACTCATCTATCACTGCACGCACAGCTTCCAAAGGAATAGCTGCCGCTGATCGGATCAAATCCGCTTTCAGGGACTCGATATTACGGTGGGCTTTGGAGCAGGCCAACTGCTCTAGCAGGTCCCACAACTTGTAGTCTAAAGGATTGAGGTCCGGACTCCCTGAGGGCCAATCTTCCGCAGCAATGAACTCTGGCACATTGCTTTCCAGCCAGCGCTGCGTACTCTTAGCCTTGTGAGCGGGGGCGGAATCCTGCTGGTAGACCCAGTGTTGGTTGGCAAACAATGTACCACTTAAAGGCTTGACGATAGGATCCAGTATGTCGCTCTGATAGTTTGCCGCTTTTGTTTTCACGCCCTGTTTACAGAAATGGAGCTGAGTGACCCCTTCGTAGGACACCCCCCACCAAACCATGACTGACGCAGGGTGGTGGCCTCTCTCAACTCTCGGAATGATCTCCGAAGCTTCCTGTGAACTCCTTGCATACACTTTGTCATTTTGTCGGTTGAATTTTTCTTCTATGGTGAAGATTTTCTCATCCGTGAACAAAATCTTTCGGAATCCCCCAGCTGCGTACCTCTCCAAGAGCTTCTTGGATCTTGTCGCCCTGATGTGTCGCAAGGTGGCCGTAAGTCGCTGGCCCGTACGTCTCCGGTAAGCCCCTAGCCCTAGGTCTTGTTTAATGATGCGCGACATCGTCCGGACAGGAATCTTCATTTCCCTGGATAGGATCTTCTGCTTCCGGAGTGGATTCCTTTGAATCCTGGCTTTTACGGCTTTGATGGCTGCTGGAGTCCTTACTTGACGAGGTCTTCCGCTTCTTGGCCTGTCATCAACAGAGGACGTCTCATTGTACCGCTGAATGGTCCTAGACACAAATTTACGCGATATTTGAAGGCCGCGTAAGAGTTCAAAAATCTGACTAGCACTGTGATTACACTTATGTAAAGCTATCACTGCAATACGGTTCTCTGCCTTGCCCCACTCCATCGTTATGCTTCGAGAGATCAATACAAACTGAGGTATATGTAATTACCCGAAAAGCGCTTAATCAACTGACACCACAATGTAAACAATCGGACAAGTATTAACAGGTCTACACTTGTTTGAAAACGAGGGACAGAACTTATGGCATGACTACGTATATCCTGTATTATTTTACAATTAAACTTTACCTTATGCGTGGGACTGGTGACACTTAACGAATCCATCCTCTTGAAGCTCTGATGCAACTGCTTGAGTTCGAAGAACATGTCAAGCTGGAAAGGAAGAAACGCTAGGGACTTTAACGCAGCGATCATAGTGTCTAGAAGTGCCCTAACGTTCGCGCCGCCAGTGTACGCCATCACCATCAGTGAATCGCCAGTGTAGTGTTTCTTCAGGATGCTTTCGCGGGTCCGCAAGTAGCTGGCCCACGCGTCTAACGACCTACCGGAGAAAAATAAGGCTTATATCTATTATTCATGAATTTATTTATAAAAAACCCAAGTAATGATAAGTTACTTTAACGAGAGGAGACTATGGTAAGACAAAAGACAATAAATGTAACTCTGAAAGTGCCGCAGGGCTCTGTCCTATGGCCGTTGCTTTGGAACGTGTTCTACGATGAGGCTCTTCGGTTACAGATGCTGCAGAGAATTCGCCTGATAGGGTATGCTGATGACCTTGCGAAGATAGTGATTAGCATTGGAGGCTTTTAGCATATGGAACCACGAGAATTAGCATATGGATGGAAGAATCTGGCTTGGAGATAGCTCCTGAGAAGGCGAAAATCGTTTTTACTTTCTGATAGATAGAAGCTAACTTCTGTTAAGGTGGAGAATGCCGAGATTCGAAACCAAAATGCAAGCAGTGAGAGGCGCAGAATATTGACAGAGCTGGCAGACTCGATTATGGATTACTCTGCTACTATCTAGGGCTTGAGGAAACAGACGTATAGACAGCTAATGCTAAGAAGCCAGAGAAATTAGTGCGCTTACAGAACGGTGCCGACACTGCTGGTGGTGGCTGGTCTCCCGCAATTGATTTGCTGGGGAGAGATGCGCGCACTACAAAAAGAGCGTCGAAGCTAGAAGCGACGAAAGAGAGGAACTTCATATCAGCTGGCAGGAGAGATGACATGCAACTGGTCATGGTGCATGGACTAGAAGACAGAACTTGGATTGATATGGGAGCGGTGCTGATACATTAGTATACCAAACAGATCCTCACAGGACATGATTATATTAACAGCTAAAGAGGGTAGGAGAAAGAGAGAGAGAGAGAGAGCGCGCGAGAAAGAGAGAGAACTCTAGCTGGGTATCTTGCAACGAAGAGGATAATAATAATCTATTCGAATGTGGAAGATCAGTCGATTGCTAGAGACAGCTAGAATTGACGCTCGGCGAGTAGCTCACTGCTGACAATTTTGCCATGCATGTACGCGAAGTCCAATGGGTTGATATTCAACTAACAGTTAGGCGGACGTATGATTTCTCAATTTTCTGACGTTCCTTTATCCATCTCAATTGAGATCAGAAATACCATACATATTTAATTTTTCAGATAAAAAAACTCCTAGTAAATAAAGAATTTGGATTCAATTCAACTTCTTTTAATACATAATCTGATTCTTTTTTGCCCTTTTTTTACTTATCTCATTTCCAGTTTATTGAGAATATTTTTGCATTTTACAAAATTGAATCAAAACCTACCTGACGTTCAACAATCCAAACACAAAAGAATTGAACTTCGTGAGTCCTTCTGAAATGGTATCTTCACTGTTGATCCTCATGACTAGATCATTTAGGGCCTTGGTAAGGGGTCCTTGTTGAGAAGAAGCCTCGACAACTTGCCATACTGAATTCGTGATCGCTCCGAAACTGGTCTCCAAGCAGGGCTTCAAACCATCGCTCAGCACCTAGGCAAATGTGTTTTGAGTAAATGGTCTATTATTTCCATTTGGACTTGAAGAAGTTTTAAAAAAATATGCGATCCTATTTATAGCACAGTAGGACCACAAACAAAGCGGCACCAATTACACTGGACAACAAATTTTAGTTTTTTAATTGTATCTTGTGGGAAAAGTGCACTTCTTTGTTAATTTTGGGGCGCTGAATCCAAAAATGCCAATGAAATAAAAAAATTAGTTGCGGTTTAGAAAAAAAACTTTTTATTTTTAAGGATATATTTAAAAAAGTAACAAGATTCATATACTTATAAGAATCACCATATGCGCTGTCTTTTTGCTGTTCTTTTATGGATCGTTTCTGGAGCATCTCTACCAAGAGTCCAACAGTAGTCTGCAAGCATGGAAGGATTCCACTTTCCCTGGTACCTTTTTTCCATTGTTGAAATATCCTGATGAAAACGTTCGCCGTGCTCATCACTTACGGCTCCGCAATTGTCAGGAAAAAAGTCCAGGTGTGAGTGTAGGAAATGTATCTTAAGAGACATATTACAGCCCATCTTTTGATACGATGACAGCATATTTTTGACAAGGGTTTTATAGTTGTCAGCTTTTCTATTTCCCAAGAAATTAGTGACCACCAGACGGAAATCATTCCAAGCGGTTTTTTGAATACCTGTTAAAGTGTTTTCAAACTGTGTACCTTTCAAAATATTTCGAATCTGTGGCCCAACAAAAATACCTTCTTTAACCTTTGCCTCACTTAGTCTTGGAAATGTCTGACGCAGGTATTGAAAAGCTGACCCATCCCTATCTAATGCCTTGACAAAGTTTTTCATTAGGCCCAACTTGATGTGCAGTGGTGGTAATAAATTTTTTTTCGAATCTACTAATGGCATTTTTTTGACCTGGCTCTAGGAATTGACGAACAGGCCAGTTTTGTCTGGTGTAATGAAGTGCCTTTGCCCGACTGTCCCATTCAAACAAAAAACAGCAAAACTTTGTGTAGCCTAGCTGCAGCCCAAGTAAAAGTGCAACAACTTTCAAATCGCCACAAATATGCCATTGGTGCTCATCGTATTTTATGGATGTGAACTGCATACCCTACAGGAAGAGATGGTAAAATATTTCCAATATGCAATAACACTGCTTTTAAACTCAATGTTGAACTGTCTATAAACAATCTCCATTCTTCTGGGTTATAGTTTATATTTAAAGTCGCCAGTAAGCCGTTAATGTTACTGCAGAAAACCAAGTTATTCTCCATATTGAAAAATGGTTCTAAGTCTTTGTGGCGTTTACGAAAAACACATACCGAAACATCGTCTTCTAACAAGTTCCACTGCTGCAGTCTTGATCCAAGTAACTCTGCCTTACATTTTGGAAGTTCAAAATCTCTTACAAGATCATTTAATTCTGACTGTGTTATTTTGTGCGGTTGGTGGCATGACGTGCTCGGTATAAAATCAGGATCTCTTGACGTTGATGGCATATCTTCTTCCTGACAGATCACTCGATCGCCATGATCTGATTCGTTTTCTGATTCGCAAGTGTAGGATTCTGGGGGTTTTGGAATAGGATTTTCGTCACTGTGAGGCACAGGTCTCATCGCAGATGGTATGTTTGGGTAGTTAATAACCGATTTTTTTTTTCTTGGACATACCTGTGGCTTGTCCAACACAAGGTACCATGCAAAAGTAACAATCATTAATATGATTTGTAGGCTCTCTCCAAACCATTGGGACAGCAAAGCGCATAGACCGTTTTTTGCCATTTAACCAGCTCCTCAGACTTGAAGCACATGTATGGATACAGATATAGATACAGATATGGGGTGCTCACTGTTTGTCTTGATCACCTAGTTTACAACCGAAATAAAGCTGATATGCCTTTGTTATTAGTGGAGTAATAGACCGTCTCTGAGACGCAAAAGTCACATCACCACACACGTAACAAAACTGATCTGAATTGTTTACACACTTTCGAGACATCTTGCATGAACGCTGTCAGCCTACTGAGGAAAAAATGGCTAATATAAAACAATATAATGTACACGTATGTATAACGTAACACAATCATGCCGATTACATCATCTTTCCTTGCCGAATATAAAAATGTAGCACGTGCATTCTTGTGAATTAAAGTAAATTAACACTGTCACAGCAGGAACACATATAATTACCGTATCTCTAAAACTTGAACTAATATTGAAAAAATAAGTTTCATTCCGGTTTTAGCACATTGAAAATAGTAATATTTTGTTGATTTTATTTGGGATATTTTTTGGCTGTTGATCAGTGTTATAATAACGACGTCATGAACACGAAGAAGGAAATATTTTTTTATTTAACCCTTTCCGACCTACAGGTATTCTGTCAATACCGCGATAATTACTGGTTGCCTATGATTTAGACTTTTTATCAGCAATGAAATGATATCCAATAGCTGAGCTTGTGGGAGAAGCAGGTATAACGTATCCCTTAAAAGTTTTGTCACAAAATATCTATCGGATTTTTTTTAATGGAGAAATTTATTTAAACACTAACATCATCATCATTCTGCTCTACCAGACGCAACTTTCTTCAAATGTCTCTCATGGGGTCCTGGACGGAATTCAGATCAATTTCTCCCAGTTTTTCGTAAATTCGCCGTCTTAACTGTTCTTCATCTTGAGTTTCCCAGCCTCCATGACAGTAAAGCCCAAAAATTCTCTATTGGGCGAGCTTGCGGCAAATTTGGAGGATTATCGTTTTTGGGAACCAAGGGTATATCGTGTTGTCCAAGCCAGTTTGGGGTATCTCTTGAGTAATGCCATGATGCTAGGTCTGGCCAAAACATGATAAGGTCATTAGCATGATGTTCGGGGACAAACTGAAGCAATTTGGAAAGGCAGTTATTAATATAGCTGTGACAATTTAAAACTTCACCCCTCACTCTTCCCACAAAAGGTTGGGATACATCCCTGTTAGAACTTGCGCACCAGACAAGAATTTTATCTGCAAATTTCGCCTTATGTTTGTATTTAACATTGTGAGGGCATTCCTCTACGTTATCCGTATAAAATCCGTCGTTTTCCTACATACTAGAACTACTCAAAGTGAAATACTTTTCGCCATGTAAAATAATGATTTTTCCATTGCGATAGTGGACCGCCGCAGTTAACGACAGCATCTTAGTGAACGAAGGAGGTGCTTGAGAGTATTTGGGGCACTTAAGTCTCTTACGATAGAAGATCTGTAACGACAAGCCAGTCTCCTTGTTGACATCCCAACCTAATTTTTTGCTCTTCTCACCAATCTCTTTGACCTCTGTGCATTAATGCCCGTGGTCTAACACTTTTTGGGAGATTGCGACATGGTATTCCCTGTTCGCACTCCGCTAGTGTTCGTTAAATGGTTCTGCGTGAAATGTTTTCATTCTGGAATATTCGACAGATTTCAGCTTTGGGTACCCGCCCAACCAACTTGTAGATACTTTTTCTTATTTCTAATTTATACGACATCTTAAAGCGAAAACTTCAAAATAAATAAATGTCATCTGACAGTAAAGTAAGTAAACAAACATTTGTTTCCAAAAGCAACTTGATATTATTTTGTGTTTGTTAAAAGTGAAGCCAATGAATTTTGTGCCAAAAGTTTTAGGACATATGAAAACGTTCAACTTGAATCAAGCTTGTTTTGTTGTATTCCATCAAATAAGGGGATGTTTTATGCTCACTTATTTGAAGCTAACAATGCTATCATAATCATCTGTGTGTCATATAAGTATAGTTCAAAAATGATAAGTACCTTCTTCTAACACTGATCAACAGCCAAAAAATATCGTAAATAAAATCAACAAAATATTACTATTTTTAATGTGCTAAAACCGGAATGAAACTTATTTTTTCAATATTAGTTCAAGTTTTAGAGATACGGTAATTATATGTGTTCCTGCTGTGACAGTGTTAATATACTGTAATTCACAAGAATGCACGTGCTACATTTTTATATTCGGCAAGGAAAGATGATGTAATCGGCATGATTGTGTTACGTTATACATACCTGTACATTATATTGTTTTATATTAGCCATTTTTTCCTCAGTTGGCTGGAAGCGTTCATGCAAAATGTGTCGAAAGTGTGTAAACAATCCAGATCAGTTTTGTTACATGTGTGGTGATGTGACTTTTGCGTCTCAGAGACGGTCTATTACTCCACTAATAATAAAGACATATCAGCTTCATTTCGGTTGTAAATTAGGTGATCAAGGCATCTGCTGTAATACATGTGCTTCAAGTCTGAGGAGCTGGTTAAATGGCAAAAAACGGTCTCTGCGCTTTGCTGTCCCAATGGTTTGGAGAGAGCCTACAAATCATATTAATGATTGTTACTTTTGCCTGGTACCTTGTGTTGGACAAGCCACAGGTATGTCCAAGAATTTATTACTATTAACTACCCAAACATACCATCTGCGATGAGACCTGTGCCTCACAGTGACGAAAATCCTATTCCAAAACCCCCAGAATCCTACACCTGCGAATCAGAAAACGAATCAGATCATGGCGATCGAGTGATTCGTCAGGAAGAAGATATGCCATCAACGTCAAGAGATCCTGATTTTATACCGAGCACGTCATGCCACCAACCGCACAAAATAACACAGTCAGAATTAAATGATCTTGTAAGAGATTTAGAACTTCCAAAATGTAAGGCAGAGTTACTTGGATCAAGACTGTAGCAGTGGAACTTGTTAGAAGACGATGTTTCGGTATGTGTTTTTCGTAAACACCACAAAGACTTAGAACCATTTTTCAATATGGAGAATAACTTGGTTTTCTGCAGTAACATTAACGGCTTACTGGCGGCTTTAAATATAAACTATAACCCAGAAGAATGGAGATTGTTTATAGACAGTTCAACATTGAGTTTAAAGGCAGTGTTATTGCATATTGGAAATATTTTACCATCTCTTCCTGTAGGGTATGCAGTTCACATGACAGAATCATATGACAATATGAAGTACCTATTGACATGCATAAAATACGATGAGCACCAATGGCATATTTGTGGCGATTTGAAAGTTGTTGCAGTTTTACTTGGGCTGCAGCTAGGCTACACAAAGTTTTGCTGTTTTTTGTGTGAGTGGGACAGTCGGGCAAAGGCACTTCATTACACCAGACAAAACTGGCCTGTTCGTCAATTCCTAGAGCCAGGTCAAAAAATGTACAGCATATACCATTAGTAGATTCGAAAAAAATTTTATTACCACCACTGCATATCAAGTTGGGCTTAATGAAAAACTTTGTCAAGGCATTAGATAGAGATGGGTCAGCTTTTCAATACCTGCGTCAGAAATTTCCAAGACTAAGTGAGGCAAAGGTTAAAGAAGGTATTTTTGTTGGGCCACAGATTCGAAATATTTTGAAAGATACACAGTTTGAAAACACTTTAACAGGTATTGAAAAAACTGCTTGGAATGATTTCCGTCTGGTGGTCACTAATTTCTTGGGAAATAGAAAAGCTGACAACTATAAAACCCTTGTCAAAAATATGCTGTCATCGTATCAAAAGATGGGCTGTAATATGTCTCTTAAGATACATTTCTTACACTCACACCTGGACTTTTTTCCTGACAATTGCGGAGCCGTAAGTGATGTGCACGGCGAACGTTTTCATCAGGATATTTCAACAATGGAAAAAAGGTACCAGGGAAAGTGGAATCCTTCCATGCTTGCAGACTACTGTTGGACTCTTGGTAGAGATGCTCCAGAAACGATCCATAAAAGAACAGCAAAAAGACAGTGCATATAGTGATTCTTATAAGTATATGAATCTTGTTACTTTTTTTAATATATCTTTAAAAATAAAAAGTTTTTTTTCTAAACCGCAACTAATTTTTTTATTTCATTGTCAGTTTTGGATTCAGCGCCCCAAAATTAACAAAGAAGTGCACTTTTCCCACAAGATACAATTAAAAAACTAAAATTTGTTGTCCAGTGTAATCGTGTTACTGATTCGAATGCAGTCTGATTTGTGTGATTTGACAAATCGGGGGATTGACAGACAAGGTACAGGTAGAATCTCTTCATTAGGCAGGCATCATCAATCCAGTGTTGGCATTTATATTATCTATGATGACTGACTGTGTAATACTGATGGTAACATACGTCATTTTATATTCAGTAGTACTAAATCGATATGACTATTAGAAGAAATGCATTATCTAAAATGATGTTCGAGGATGGAGTATTGACAAATGAAAAAATAACAACAGATCGAATGAATACCTATGTCATAGAAAGTATGAACGACATCCCAACCAAAAAAAAAAGAAAAAACGACACGGCTATTCTTGAAGCGTTTTTATTACGAAATTATCTTCTTTGCAAAATGATTTGAGTATAGCAAAATACATGATGGAGACAACTAAGTTGAATGGTCTGTTTATTCGCTTCGATAAAACAAAGGTAGGGCTTTGTAAAACAAATGATGTTGCTAAGAAGCTAATTTTTGACGTTTAAATCAACTTTCAATGCATTGGTGTTGCTAACAATCAAAAATGGCTTGTGGAAAAGCTGTTTGTTTCTGACGAAATGAGAAAAGTGATCATTCACTTGCAATCAAAAGGCCAAAATGCTTCCCAAATCGCTGACAGTGTTAACAAATCGAGGTATACAGTTCGAATTATTATCAAATTGTACAAAACAACCCATAACTGGTAGTCGCCCGGGTTATTCCAATACAAACTTAAGAGCCTTAAAACGGATTATCAAGGAAAATCGGCATGCTAATTATAACGAATTAAAAATATTATGGAATCAGGCAACCATAGAAAAGTTTTCAAGAGCTGCCTAGAGACTGGGATTTCCCACTTACAACGTAGGTTTAAATTATTTTTTTATTCGTTTTTTAATTCAGTATTTCTAGGCAACAGAGAGAAGCCTCTATTGACAAACATTAAGAAGGAAAACAGACTAGCGTGGGCCAGAGAAAACAAATTATGGTAAACCATTATTTGGAGTAACGAGGCCAGATTTGAAGCATGCGTTGCTGATAGTAGAAGTCGCGTCATAAGTACTAAGGAAGAAGCGTGTCAGGATGACTGTCTGACTTCTGTCGGCAAGTGCAGTGGGAAACTTACACTTTGTGGAAGGTATTATGAATGCTGATAAGTACATTAATGTGCTGCAAAATAACTTAATACCCCAAATTGAACAATTGAGTTTCAGCAATATTGAATGTATCTCCCAAAAAGGTGGTGCCGCTTGCAATACGGCTGAAAAAGTAAAAGATTGGATGTCAGAAAACAATATTTCAGTTTCAGAATGGACGACGATCTATCGCCGATTGAAACCTTGTGGCATATCATGAATAAAAAGCTCCGGTCGAATCTCGCAAGAACCGTTTTGCGAACCCGAAATTTTGAACAGTTTCACACCTGATGACCGCCAAACGTTAGTTGACACTATGTCAAGACGTATCGAAGCAGTAATCAGTCGAAAAGGCGATGTGACGCAGTAGTGATTTGCTGGAATTTGTTTTTTTATTAATATAGAAATACATTTTAGTTTTTAATACGTTTCCGCTAATATGACAAATTTCATAAAAAACCTAGTTTTGGTAGTCTTTACCGAGACAGGGCTCATATACTGGTAGTAAACTAAAGTTTGAGAATCGCTATACGAATACATTATTTCAAAAATTGACAATAAAAATAACTTCTATTGTGCTTCTCATAGTCTTAGTACATGTTCCAAAAAAATAGTGTATAATACAATTCTTATTCTACCGCATTTCCTATATTGTTCAACTATCAAGTACACCAAAATAAAATCTATGTTACAAGAATCGCAGTGGTTGAATATAAAAAAATTCATATCATATTTGGTTATTTTCATATTTAAAATAAAAAATCATCTTTTACCACAATTACTATAGAAGAGGAAATATAATTATACTAAGTGACATATAAATCCGAACACCCAGTTTAAATGGTTTTATTTTAATAAAATTTTGTATAAGTACTTAATGAAGCATAATAAGTAAATGATAAAAATTTCAAAATGATTGCACTGCTTTAAAGCCCTTTGACCTTTAATAATGTGTGGATGCACCCTGATGTGCTACGCATTCTCGAACGCGCCTAGGCATGCTTCTGATCCGCTGGTCAATGTCCTCCTGTGGTATCTCATTCCAGGCAACCACCAACTCCTCTCGAAGTGCTTCTAGAGTCTGAGGAGGACGTTGCAAATTGAGCAATCTCCTACCCATCATATCCCACACGTGCTCAATTGGGGATAAGTCGGGAGATCTTGGTGGCCATGGTAACAATGTGGCATCATTATGTTGAAAGAAGTCTATTGTGACTCTTGCAACATGTGGTCGGGCGTTATCTTGTTGGAAAGTTGGATTTGCCAGAGTATCAAGATAGGGTAAAAGATGGGGTTCTAGAACTTCGTGGATATAACGCTGCGCGTTCATGTTACCTCTGATGAAGATTAAAGGGGGCCTGGAACCATAAGCTATAGTACCGCAAACCATAACTCCAACAGTGTGATGAACATGTCTTTCAACAAAAAACTGTGGATTCCTCCTTTCACCACGTCGCCTTCTAACCATGCCTAAACAAAATCGAGACTCGTCACTAAAGACAATACTGTTCCATTCCTGATCCCAGAGTGACCCTTGCTCTTTGCTCTTTGCGTACGGCCTTCTCGAAGCCATGCCTGACAACACCTAACCACAGTGTCTACACTTCTTTGCACTCTAACTGCAATTGCCCGAAAAGAAACTCCAGCTTCCCGAAGTCCCACTATACGGCCCCTATCAAACTCACTAAGTTGACCAAATCGTACAGGTCTCCGTACTCTAGGCATCGTAACCGATCGTAAAGGATGTCAAGAACCAAAATTCGCCAACGTTGATTCTTTACTGCGGCTGAAATATTCATTTTTAGAGCGTTAGTGAATTAAAAAAAAGCAGTATAAAAACCGGAATGTCCGACTGATAAGGCTGAACATTTTTTCACTTGTTATTTACAGTAAGATAAATACATTCACCAACTTTTATTAAAATAAAACCATTTAAACTGGGTGTTCGGATTTATATGTCACTTAGTATATATTCCCATTTACAAAATTGCAACAGTAATATAACTAGCAAATCAATATTTCAGAAGGGATTACTTAAATTTAATAAACTGAATAATGATATAAAGTCTATTTAAAGACGTTTAGAAGAAAATTAAAGGAACATTTCATGGACATTGAAAATTCTGAGAGATGCAAGTTTTGTTTTTCTGATTTGTATGTCAAGTAATTGCTGTAGTTTTTGTTTCTAGTTATCATGCTAAACAAACAAATATAAAATGAACGATTTCATAACAGACCTCTCCGCAAAGGGCCAACGAACCCGAACAGAATTAGATAGGTCTAATAAATTCCAATAATAATGGTTTATAAATGGGTCCAGTCTAACTTACCGCATACACAGCTGGACAAAGGACGTTTAGCGCCAACTTAGCGCATGCGGGATTCGCTCCCAAAGCGTTCAAATCACTTTGATTGGTCGCCGGTGAAAAATGTACCATGATCTGTTCGACAGCATCGGCGACAGCGTTGATTAGCGACCGCTTCTGAGCCAAAATGTCAGAAAATGACGTTTTCACTGTGTGGATGGGCGTCGTTTGAGGACTTGAATAGTTAGGGCTGTTTTCGTTCTCCTCATTGATTGTTGTGTCTATCAGGGTTTTGGGCTGAAAAAAACAAAAAATACCGTCAAGTAGATTTTTTATACAATTTTCAAAATGTCTAAATTTCAAAAAGGGGGCCAAGTGCGAAGGTTAAATGGAATGCAAATTTGGCTAACAAAGTATGCTCACTCAAAAACCCACATCAAAAAGCCCCTCATCTCAAACTATACAAAATGAGTCTAAATTGAGATTGTTGTATAAAATACGTCTTGATACGTTGAAGCGAAAAGTTTTCAAGAATTGTGCAACATATCGACATGAGTGTTTTATGAAGTTATGGGCCCAGAGACGCGCTTTGTAGATCTTGAATCATTTTTGAAATAGTTGAATGAATAAGTTTTTAAATACTTAAAAGCCAAATACCAACATATCCGTTTTATGAGGTTATGGGCACAGAGACGCGTTATATAGATCTAAGATAGCTGTATTCAACACGTCTTGATACGTTCAATCAAGATGTTTTCTAAAACTTTAAGCAAAATATCGACATGAACGTTTTATGAGGTTATGGGCCCAGAGACGCGTTTTATGTATCTTGAAACTTTTTTGAGATAGTAAAGTTGTACAGAATACAATACGTCTTGATACATTGAAGCAAAATGTCGACATGAACGTTATATGAGGTTATAGGCACAGATACGCGTTTTATTGATCTTGAAACTTTTTTTTAGAATGGGGTATACAGCAGGCCTTGATTTTTAATAGATTTTTAGTTACAGTTTTTCTGGATTACACCATTTTACGACTATAGAGACTTACCTGATAATTCTTCTGTTGCAAAAACGCAGAAACATTTGGCGAATTGTTCGGTGGAATAAACTGTCTGGCAACGTCGAGATGTTGCTTCGTCCCGGCGAAACTGACGCATTTCTTGTTATTGATGTCTTGGTTTATCTTCAAAGACAGAAACTTGCTGACATATGAACGCAGATGCATAAGGCTGTCTTCTAGATGGTCATGTTCTTGGTCTGACGATATTGATAGGCGGCTTAGTTTCAGGAACTCGTCCAGCTGCGCCATCTGCAATTAAAAATGTTTTTGTACTATTTTATGTTCAAGCAAAAACGAAATTTCAACTACAACCGAGGTCAAAATCGAGTTGAAGTTTTTGGTGAGGACAGCGCCTTAATTTTTTTAGCTATTTCACTAAAATTGAAAGTAACTAAACCATACCTCTTCAGCATATGCTCTCTGTGCATTGAAATCATCCAAATGATCGTCCAAACTGCTGCTAGATGTTCCAGCATCCACACCTTCATCTTCTGTTTCTGACAGTCGTTTATTTCTTTGATAGAATTTCTTGTGTTCGAAATCTTCTAAACCTTCGTCATTATTTTCGCACATGCCGTATCTATAAAAGTATGGACATTTTAACTTCCATTTTCGATTATCGTAGAACAATATCAACGAAATAAAAGGGCCAACAAAAGCCAAAAAGTTATACAATCACATAGCTGTACATATACGAGTATCTTGCTTACCTTTTTTGAGTATCGGATATTTTCTCGATAGCCCGTCTGAGTATCCCCCTAGACAGTGGAGTCGTCCTACCAGCCTGTTGTTGTTGAGGCTGCGAAGGAGCTGTAGTCATTGTCATACTTCTTTGCCTGTCGCTATTGACTAGGCTGGCGTCAGAACTCGTAACGCTGTCGTACCGATATACGAACAAGGGGTTTAAATTAGCCGTCGGCAATGGACTTCCCTGCACCAAAGATTAATGTCAGTATAAAACGAAGTTGTATTCGGTCGGTTACGGTTACAGATACGGAAAGGAAATTGATACATTTCAGCTTACGTTTCCATTTCAATAAGATTGCTCTGCATGTATCTCAAGGAAACCCGCACGAATCAGGGAAAATGGCACACAGTCGATTTATCTAAATCGCCTTACTGTACAAAAGTTGCCATGGAACCAAAGCAATCCTATGATTATTTTCTGGGAAATAGGGAGATGAAGTTTGGCCAAATGTTGAATTTGCACATAAAATCGATTTTTAAATTCTTAGGGAACACAATTCAAATGCAGCAGACCTTTGTAAAATATGGTATACTCAGTGACTTTAGAAGTGTTACCCAGAAAAAAATAATTTCTTCAACTTGTTTTCTTGGCAACATAATAACTATATTCAAAGCAACAATGTAAACGTTTTATCTTTGTTTTTGTTTAACTTTGTTAAAATGTTAACTCTTAGTTTTTGTGAAGAAAGCAGTATGAGAGCTGAGTAGTACAGATATTCTTAGTTACTGCCCTTAATTGTTTTGCAATGACGATAAAGCGTGTGTGTCGTGCGTGTATAGTAGGTACAGGCACACGAAGAAGGCCAACTGGTCTACCGTGTCGTACCACAGAACGTCAAGATAGGCGCTTCAGACAACTAGCCGTACGTACGTATACTTTATCTGAAGTCACTTGAAACACTGTGAAATACCGGGTGCGTTTTATATATCTATATTTAACACGCTCTGTTACCTGCAAAAATCGCCAAATTTCGCAGCAAATATCCCCCGAATAGGAGATCAAAGGCAGTTTCACCGGTCCACGCGGAGTAAAGCACGCCTATGCGTGGACATAGCCAATGAGAAAGCGTGTATTTCAGAGCTCGGAACAAGTGCAGGTGGCTACTGAAAATTGAAACAGTTTAGCCAGTGCCGTGTAGCGGTGAATAAACGTGTTTTCTTTAGTCTGTCCGTGTTTTTTCATAGATTTTATTAGTTTGTGTGTTTTTGACTTTTGAATACTCAGTTTACTTGTTGATTTAATTGTTGTGTTGATTGTTCTTGTGTGTCCTAAATATGGCTCTTTGGAGACCTTGGGAAAATGCTCCAAGCCACGAGGAGATGGTTGATGAACCTGTGCAGGCAGAATTCTTTCATAAAGATTTAGAGGAACAGACCCAAAGAGTAATCCTAAATGTGTATGATTGTCTGAAAAACGAAAATCCAGATTCCTCGCAAAATCAAATTTTAAACAGAATTTGTATCCTGACAAAAATCAGTCGGTCTACCATTTATCGGGTTATAAAAAGGGGAGATGTAGTCAACCATTCCTTCCACAGAAAGCGCATAGGGCAAAAATTAAAAAGAATAGACGTGGGTTTTCAGGAAGATATTCGTCGTATAATATACGGATTTTATAAAGAAAATTTGGTGCCCACGTTGGAAATGATACGGGATAAATTAAAAGATTATCCTGAAGATTTTTATAATTACAAATGCTTAGACTCACTGCACTGTATTGTAAAACTGTGTGGTTTTCAATACAAAAAATTAGATAAAAGAATGGTGATTATGGATTCGTCTCGAATCGTTGAATTGTGCCAAGAATTTTTGCACAAAGTTAAAATCTATAGAGAGCAGAAAAGAAATCTGATTTACCTGGATGAAACGTGGTATGATACCCATGATGTTGTGCAGTACGGCTGGGTTGACGACAGCAACAAGTGCATTTTAAATGCACCATGCAACCGTGGAAAACGAATCATTATTCTCCATGCTGGCAGTGAAAATGGATTTATACCTAATGCCTTGCTGTTATCTGCCAAAAATATCAAAGAATCATGTGCCGACTATCATGAGGACATGACCTCCGACTTATTTGAAAAGTGGATAGAGCAGCAGTTAATACCAAACATTTCCCCACATTCAGTGATTATTATGGACAATGTGCCATACCATTCCCGACAGAAAAACAAAATTCCGAATACAGGCACAAAAAAACAAGACATTATTGATTTTATGAAGGATAAGGGAATGGAAATACCACAAAAATCAACCAAAGCCATATTATTGGATCTTATTAAAAGACAAAAATTTGAAAAAGAGTATGTTGTTGACAATCTGCTTCAGCAAAATGGCCATGAAGTATTACGTCTACCTCCCTATTACTGCATTTTTAACGCGATTGAGTTGGTCCGGGCTGCTTTAAAAAAAAAGTAAGAAAACATAATCAGACCCCTCAATTAAGTGAATCGCTATTGGCCACAATAAGAGATGCATTATCTCATATTGCTGCCACAGACCTATGGAAGCAGTGTTCTAGGCATATTATTGAAAAAGAAAATGAATATTGTGTTTTACCTCCTGTAAATCCCGTTGTAATTCCTCTACAAGATGACTCTAGCGACAGCTCCGAAGGCGAGGATGATATATAAATACCTATAATGTAAGTCATTATATATCTTTTTATATACCTACCTGCTATGTAAATATTTGCCTATGTCAAACGTTGGAATTCTGTAATTTTTCCATTTCTTAACTTTCAGTCAACATAAATTAAACTCCCAATATAAGTATTTTTTATCCCAAATCAAAAAAATAAGAAAATAGTAAAATCCATTTATTGTGATATAAAAACATTATTATTATCGTTCTAAATAAATGCCGCACGCCTATGATACGTCATGAAATTACAAAGGACGCGCCGACCAAAGGTTTTTATGCTATTTCAAGTGACTTCAGATACACCATACGTTTTACTACTACACGTCAGATCGCTGATCAATGGTTTGAAGAAAAAGGTAGACTTGTTACTATGCGTACACTCTATAGCGGATTCGAGCCTTTGGACTTTTTTCATACCGTCCACGGTTAGTGCTTCCTCTGTCTGCGGACCACTGTCGTCAACGTTTGAACTGGAGCAGAGAATGGCAAAATTGTGAGGCAGAATGGCATAATGCCATCTTCAACGACGGGGCGCAATTCTGTCTAGGTACGCACGATGGCCGTAGAAGGGTAAGACGCCGCTGTGGAGAACGGAGTGATATTGGATTTGCTGTTGAGAGGCATGTACACAGGAGTATTGGTTTGGGGGGCTATTCCCTATGGTAGCCGATCACACCTTCTGTTTGTTCAAGGTAATATGACTGCTGCGAGCTATGTTGATGATGTCCTACAAACCACTTCACTGCCGTATCTAAAGGGCCGTCCACACGACCTTTTTCAGCAAGACAACGCACGTCCCCATATTGCTCGTCATACTACGGGTTTTCTTCAAGAAGCAGTCGTTAATGTTTTGCCGTGGCCACCTCGTTCACCGGTTTCAAATCCCATCGAACATGTGTGGGATATGATGGGGAGGAGACTATCCACTTTGCACCATCCGCCTCAAACGCTGCCACAGCTAATCCACGAAGTTCGAGTTGTTTGGAATAAGGTGCTTATAACCAGACATCGATCATCTCATTTTGTCGAAGCCTAGACATTTGCAGGAGCGTATTCAGCTGCGGAGTCGACAACACATTATTTTTTTTTCTTATTACTTAATATTAAACAATAATAAATTTATTCACAATTACAACCAGTAATTATACGTAGTTACTAATTTGAATAATAAATGTAATTACAAAAAGGGCCAACATACAGAAAAAAAACTGATACAAGTGCTGACCCAATTGAGACAAGAATTAATGAGGTGCCACAACCAGACATCGATCATCTTATTTTGTCGATGCCTAGACGTATATTCAGTTGCGGGGTCGCCCCACACATTATTAGTTTTTGTTTCTTATTATTTGCCAGTAAAATTTCGTGATATCGTTTTATTGCAAAAAATCAAGTTGAAAAAATTATTTTTTTTTGGGTGTAACACTTCTAATGTCACCGAGTATAGCTGGTGCTCTTATTAATAGATCTCATCCTCAAATTATTATTGATGAAATAGAAGGTATCCACATATTTAGTAGTAGAACAAAGAATTATTTAGCACGTTTGGGTACATAAATAGAATAATCATAAACAACTTAGAATTACTAAATTCAAGCCATATGATGCATGCTGGGTAAGCCACGATTGTAGATTTAACAAGTGATTCCTCAATTTTGCCTTGCATTTTGTCAAAGTATTCTAGTCTTTTATCTGTGTACTTAATTTATTTATTATATTCAACCAACCCTTGATGGAATACAGATTTCGAACATATAATCTGATTTATTTCTGGTATTATATAAATGATGGTCGGCATTTGATGACGTTAAATTTGTTAGATATGGTGGAAATATATTTTTTACTTCATAGTTAAATATCATTACGATATATTTGATAAAAATGCTCACCTTGAGCCATTTTAATTTGTCTAATTGGAGTATATTTTTGTTTATTCAGTATTATTCTCATGCACTTGTTTAATAAAATTTGCTGTTTCTCATAAATTGAATTCTTAGCTAAATATAGAATAGTCCAACAGTACAAGAAGTTTGTAAGATAGATAATTTTTCTACTATATGAACTCAGACATCTAGAAACTCTTGATAAATATTCCACTTTACTACTAATCTTGTTAACAATTTTCTCATAATGAATATCAAAATTTAGCTTTGAGTCCACAAAAACCCCAAAGTATTTCCATCTGTATATGAATTTTGAATTTTGTTAACTATGGCAGATAAATCGTTTATGTATAAAGTAAAAAGAAGTGGTCCCAGGATACTGCCATGCGGCACCTAACGTATTTTTAATTTTTGATGAAACAGTGCTTTTAACTTTTATTTAAAAAATTTTAAACCAGTATAAAACACTTCCTGGTATACCATACGGATTCAATTTACCTAACGTTTGAGAAATCGAATAAGCTTCGCCAAATGAAAATGTTTGATTATTATTTTTATTGATTATGGATATCTTATTGACAATTTCATGAAAATACCTTATGATTAAGTAATAATTAATTTACATTATTGCAGATGTAAATCTGGCGATCAAACCCTAGACACAGCTATTTTTTTCGATATTTGAAAAAAGTGGACCTAGAAGGTATGCAGGAAGGAGACCTATATAAAAAAAATCAAACCCATAGTCAACAAATTACAATCCCCTGACTATGTTCACAATAGTGCACTTTATTATATTTCGCCTTCAAAATCAACATGACCTTGAATTGGCATTGGAAAGGTCATAATCAAAGACAACTAACAAATGTTTCTTCAGAAAAGCGAAAAATGTATCATACTTAATTTTCAGACAAACCAACTTTGACCCATTTTCAATGCTTTCTGCGGGGTCCTTTGCACAGTTTACAACATGTTGTCGTAGACATTTGCGAAGATTTCAGTTTGCAACTTGTACCCTGCACTGTTGTACGTTCAAAATGTCGCAGATTTTCTACCGGCAGTCCTGATAGTTTTCAACAAGTTGCCTCACAATGCCCGGCACATGCTTCTGCAACTTGTTATATTGGAAACGTGCCTTTAATGTTGATGTTGGTCTCTCAAAAAAAGCTTATAACAAAGTATCCTACCCGAAGATCTTACTACGAAATTCGTGTAAAAAATTCTGAAAGCTACTATGTGATTTTTTTTCAAAACTGCAGATTTAAAGGCACCTTTTTCACACATTATTCAAATATACCTTGCTCTTGCAGTTGTGACATAGCCGTGGCGACGACTTCGATATGTAATCACTCATTTTGTGCGACTTTCCCTGCTTCATTCTTCCACCAGTAACCTCGTACTATACCAACAACTGTTATGATCAAAATACCGTCCTTTCTGATTTATTTGATAGCACCTGGGTTTTCCCGAAGAATAGTTTAAACGATTACTGAGGTACAATCCAATCTTATCAAGTACTAACTATAGTTAATTTTTGCACATTTATCATATCACATCTCGTTAAGGCGTTCAAATACAAGCGTAGTTAAAAACTGTCGCCAAAAGTCTAAAGCAAACTGCAATGAAATCAATATATTTCGTCTTATCGCGTGTCCAATGCCGGAAAATGCATTTAAATGCCAGTGTCGTTTTAGTTTGAATGTCAAGTTCCATCGTAGATTTACGAAAAACGTGCATATTTTTCTATCAAGCACTTGTTGGCCTATATTTAGGCCACGAATATAAAACATCAGATATTAAATGAAAATGCATATAGTCCAAGATCCGTTTTAAGCCCGACTGACAGCCGGATAAAAAGTACTTTCTATGACATAAATCATATAACATCCATAAAACATAAATGCTATGTCGAAATTTTTTGCGATTACAATACTTCCTCGCCAGTTTTGGTATAGGAAGTAAAATGGGAGATGGGAGGAGGAGGAAAAGGAAGAGGAGAATAAAAAAAAATGATTCATATTGAAACAAAATTCTAGTTTTTACCTGTGAATCCGTGAGCATGGTAGAAGACCCTCTATACCCAGAGCTCGGCTGTGTCCCAGTGCTGGAGCTCGATGAGTGAATCTCGCAACTCAACGGCCTTCTTCTGGCAAACTTTGCTTGAGCAGACGACTGTTTTCCCCTCCTTGCTTCCTCAGAAATTTCCGGCAAATCAGCAAAAATCCTCCTGTATTCCTGAGGCAGCAAAAAATTTAACGATTCCCAGTCCTTGACGTGATTCAGCCCTTTGCGTCTTAGATTCTCGATGTCCGTACAACTGAAAGGTCGCTTTTTCGGCGGGATGTTCGGCGGTTTTTGAGGCATTAGGAGCAATTTGGATATGTTGTCTTCTTTCTCTTTCAGAAAGTCCAGATTTGGAAGGACGTAATTCGGGTATAAGACGTAGATCGGTCTTTCAGATTCGCCTTCTTTTTGCAGCTTTTTCAAAAATGATGTTTCTATCACTTTGACGGGAGGGCGGCGTGCGTTGCAGTATACCTGAAAAAATGTGGTCAAGTAGGTCGACTCATCGATAAGGCGAAAACCACACATTAGTGGGATAAATTTTGCAATTTTTTTTTTCATAACCAGGTTTAGCAAGAGGTTGCCGGCAAATAAGTATGAAAAATCCAGAGAAGGCATCGCCTGTCTGTGGATTACATTTTACCGACAGAAATCATTATATGTATGTATAACAAATACAATTAATAAAAGTATTTATACAATTTTGAATTTTGCAATTTTAGTTTTCTCTATAATTTCGTATAGTCATTCTATGCACAGTAACCCAGTCTTGTATCTTCGTCTAAATCTTTTTCCAAATTTAAGTGTCTTTATTTCGTTTGGTACTACATTATATAATTTAGCTTCTAATAATCCAAATGATTTTTTGAATAATATTTTGTGTGGTTTTCGGATATAAGATGAGTCTATTCGAAATCGTGTGTCATGCTCGTGTTTATTTGAATTTTGTTCATTGCAATGTTTATGGTAAAAGCTGGTGGCATGTAAGAGACAAATATCGCTATTTCCTTATACACTGAAAACCAAATTTGTCTGACGGCTTGAGTTCAATGTGTACGAAAGAGAAGTGTGTATAGACACATACTATATGTTAGAAAGAGATAGAAGCAGCATGGATAGCGAAGCTCATCACCGCGATGCCTAGCAACGCTGACTCGGCAATCTGCCGCATTGCCAATATGTTACACCAGTTCCTTGAATTAAGATGCATATTGAAAATATGCGTTAGTTTATCGTTTACGCCTAAATAATGGTTTTATTTTGAGCGTACACATTTTTGAATTGTGAATTGTGTCAAATCTGTTCAGGATTGATTCCCGATCGGTTCTTCATTTTAGGTCGAAATGAAAGGTCGGGATCGCCACAAATTCTGCAACATTGGATCATTGGTTGAAACGTGCCAAAATCACATAATCTTTTTTTTACTAATTTGATCACTTACCAGTAATTTGAATCTCTCTTGATTAAATATAGAGTACCAATTCCTAGGCCAAAGCCTTTTCAATGATTTTCTTTTGCCGAATTTCATAATTTATTGATCTATTGAGCTCGAAACTACCTAATCCTGAAAGTATGATTTCACACATACATATATCTTTCTTAGCGACTCAGTATTGTGTTGAAGTCTTTTGGACACTAATGCTATAATATTTTATTAACGACTACCGCATAAATTTCCTCATAAAATATCATAGATCCCTCGTAGATCCCTTATTATTTTGGGAAATAATACGATCCCGAGGTCTATCCATAGGCAACCAGTGATGTTCTTTGTGGAGGTTCAGCTGCGAAACTTTTCTTGAAATTCGTGTGCGTCATCATTTTCCGGTTGAAGCGTTGATTGAAAGGGATTTTCTGCTATTCAATGATTTCCAGATTTTGGGATATTTGGCCCCAATCACCAGTTTATGGAGTAGCACCCTTTCTTGTACTTACCTTACGTTTAGTTGTTTTGGTTTGGGTGCTACCCGCTCCACGTTTAATGGGATTTTAATATCTTCAGCGTGCGAAGGCATTGAGGAAAACCAAAACATTTTTTTTGTAATTTGTTTCAAAAAAATGTTTACCGGATTACCGCTTGGTATCCTATTGAATAACGTCAAAAAACATCCAACAAACCTGATAATGAAAGAAATCAAGTTGGAAAACCTCTCCCGCGAGTGAGCGAGGTTTTCGCCTTGTTTGTCAATACTCAGATCCATCTTCAGATATGTAATAAAAGGTTTTATCAGATGGGAATAACACAAGGCGTCAAAATTAGCACTGTATTAATTTGAAAGTTTATCCTGACTTCAATGTACGAGCTGCGATTCCAACAGCAATTTCAGTTAAAATAAGTGACTAAAGGACATCATCATAGATACTCGAGTTTTTGTTTTTAAATAAAACGAACAATTTGCATGGTCGTTTATATTATTAGAATGTAGAAGTATGGTAGTCACGTTTTATAATTACAAAAAAACAGCTTCAGATCAAACACTAATCGTATGTGAGTTGTTTCAATATAATATATGAAATTCCTTGAATGAATTGGTCAACAATTTGGGTATTACTTTTACGTCTCAAGTTTATACCACACGAGAACAATATACGAGTTATTTTTCCATTCTACGCCAATTACACTTCAATAAACAATTTCTTATTGTGGTATGCGAGGTCTGTAAATTAAGTAATGAGACAAACAACGTAGCGTTCGATCTGGCAACACTGGACACGTCGGGCTTGCAGGCGAGACAGGAGAATATGTGATCCGCCTTCAGTGCAAGTTTGAATTAATTCGAGTCATTTGGTTGTCCGTAGCGATTTTTTTTGTGAAACAGTTTTTCCTGTTGTGTACTAAAGATGAAAAAATGAGTGGACTTCGAGCAACGGTGTGCTATCAGGTTTTGCTTTAGACTTGGGCACAGTGCAACAGAAATTCTTGCTAAACAGACCTACGGAGATCGTATTTTGTCCAGGTTTTTCGGTGGTTTAAGGTATTTTCAAAAGGGAGAGAGTCGACTGAAGATGAACCACGAAGAGAAAGGCACTCACCTTCAAGAACCGACGAAAATATCGACAGAATTCGGGATCTTGTGCGATCATATCGTCGTTTGACAGTCAGAATGATCGGGGAAGAGTTAAACTTGGCTCACACCACCGTTCATCAGATTTTGACCAGTGAATTGGGGATGAGAAAAATCTGCGCAAAAATGGTTCCAAAAGGCATTCGAACCAAAAAAACATCAGGAAGGAAAGGTGGCTTGACTTTTTGGAATCGATTGAAAATGGGCAGAAAATATGAGCCAGACGATGGAGTGGCACACTTCAACATCTTCAAGGCCCAAAATAGCAATAAACACGAAGTCGCAGATCAAACAATTTGTTTTTTCGATATCCATGGAGTCGTCCACAGAGTTTCCACCTCAAGGACAAACGGTCAACCAACACTTTTACCGGGAGGTCCTTGAAAAACTTCGAAAAAGGGTCATTCATGTAAGCTCAAACATCAAGAATAACTGGGTATTGCATTACGATATCACAGCAATGCCAGCAAATGAGTTTTTGGCCAGTAAAAACATTACTGTGACTCCTCAGCCTTCTTAATCGCCTGACTGGAATCCTTGTGACCTTTTTCTCCTCCCAAAGTTGAAAAATCACCCAGGGAAACTTGTTTTGGGACTGTCGAAAACATTCAAACGAGTGTAAACGACCAGCTGAAGGCTATTCCAGTGTCGTAGTTCCAACACAGCTATAAAGAGTGGAAAAACCTTCTCCAGCGCTGTGTGGCTTCAGAAGGTAGTTAAAAATCAGTCTTACCTCACCTTAATTAATTTACAGACCTCGTAGTTTACCTACCACTTCTAGATACAAGATCACTTAGACGTCTTCAAAAAATTGTTGTTGCAGATTCATCAACAACTTAAGGAAGTATTATCTCATAAGCCCTTTCATAAAAGGCATGGAGTGGTTGAGGATAAAAGAGATGTATGAATTAAGCCATACTCAAAACCCTTTACTCACATCCAGACTTCCGTGTTTGAAAAATAAACTAATACCCAGAAGCCATATTAATTCAAGGAACATTCGTTTCACAGAGACTCCTACAATGCCTGCTCACAGGACATCATTCTTCCGTAACTGCTTCAAATACAACGCAGTTATTTATTATATCCACAAATCTTATAATTGTTAACATATGATGAATTTAAAAAACGTGTCAAAAAACATTCATGATTTGCTCAAATTCACCTCTCACTTCTCAAAAATGTTTCAATGCTAATTACAATTCATATCTTTGTTATATTCTATATTTTCAATAAATATATTTTTATACTTATTTTTATATGCCTATATTTTAGCTTATTATTGTAACATTAAAATCTTTTATGTTTTGGACATTTGTTTTGGGGTTAAGTGGCAGAAAGGCACTATGCTAAACTTCGCCTCTAATAAAGACGATTATTATTATTACTTGTTTTGTATGTATAAACAGATTATTGAAACCCATAACTACAAATTCCTTATCTATTGTAACGCATGTCATTTCTATTACCGCGATGTTCATGAAATAATGACTAAATTTTCTTAGTATGCGCAATTCTGATACGTTTCTCCGTCATAAAACGATCCATTATCAAATTCCCGGGTCTCTAGATGACACATGCGCAGTGTAAAATCTATGAGTCATTTTGCTGGAAAATGGCGCCAAACTTGAACCCCGAAATACCTATTAGGACACCCTTTAGTTGCGTTCAAAAATGTAGTTAAAAAACTCACCTTGTTCGAATTTTTCACGCTATTAAATTCCGAAAACGACGAAGTTTGGATGCTCCTGTTGATTAACTCTTGCTTGCGCCGTTTATTCTCGTTTTTAAATCCATCGTTCCCGTTATCCTTTTCCAAACTACCAACAGATGCCCTTTCAGAGAGCTGCTCTACAGACTCAGACATATCCTCTTCAGTTTCTTCGGTAATTTGACCATGTTCCCTGAAACTTCCTTCGTTTTCACTGGCATTTTTCACATCTTTAGAGCCCGCGCTGCTTTCCACTGATTGGCAGTTGTCTGAAGATGAAAGCTGGTCCATCGTCGTTGACATACCTATAAAATATTCCACGATAACACTCGCAATTTGTAGAACAAACTGTAAAGCGAACATCACGATTTTTTTGAGGTATGCCATATTCGAATGAATTGATACTAAACGTTTCAATGAAAGTAAGAAATACACTGTTCAACAATTTCTTGAGCACTATTTTCGTCTGAATCGAGATTCACTGTCAAAACATCTCTCGAAATTAAAATCACATTAGGCCTTATCTGAACTGTTTGTTTATGATCATTCATAGAAGGTAATTAAATAGAAGGTTTATCTTAATACATAGGATGTTTCAAAACAAACGCAAATAGCTTCAGTGGGTGAAAATAAAGGCATTTGCCCACTATACGGTATCATATTTGGTAGGCTTTGAAGAAGTACTCTTTCGCCGCGATTATACTCCAAGATGGCAGGTGTCGGATGACGGGTGGTACGTGACTGAGAACGCCGCTTGCATCTGTTTTGCATTGGTTTCATTGTATAGTTCCCGACAAAATTATAGTGTCTGTTTAAAAAAGTTTGTAGGGCTTCAAACTTGGGGCTTGTAGGGGGGAGGGAGGGTATATGAAAAATTTTTGAACCTAGTATATTTATACGCTCCCAACCCCGGTAGTTCTATACACCTATAGAAATAGCCATATTTCACTCGTCATAGATCTACCCATACATTTAAAACTTATAATGATAGATAAATGTAACTACCGCAAGGGCAGGGAAAGAATTTTTATGGACTAATTGTATGGGCATGTTTGACTGACTTGGTCCGTTTAATTTCTTTGTTGTACAAGTTTGTAACTGACTTTTTTCTCAGATGATTTAAATTACGCTGGACTTAATCCTGTATGAACTAATTGATGAAGGCGTTGTGTAGGAAGTAGTAGTAGTAGTAATAGTAGTAGAAAGATTTATTTAGCACATTTGGCTACATAAACAGGATAATTGTAAACAACTTAGAACTAGTAAATTCAAGCCATATGGTGTATGATGTAAATGCCGGGCAACCTATAATTGTAGATTTAACAAGTGATTTCTCAATTTTACTTTAAATTTTGTCAAAGTTTTCTGGTCTTTTATCTCCGAGTATAATTTATTATATTCAATCAACCCTTGATGGAATACAGATTTGTAGCATATGTTATACTTTTTGGTCATTAAATGGAAGTCATCTTTATTTCTGGTATTATGTAAATGATGGTCGACATTTGATGATGTTAAATTAGTTAGACTTGATGGAAATATATTATTTTTTACTTTATATTACAATACATTACAAGATATTTGATAAAAATTTTTACATTGAGCCATTTTAATTTGCTAAGCATTTGCCTAATTGGAGTATATTTATCTTTATTTAGTATTATTCTCATGCACTTATTTTGTAAAATTTGCAGTCTTTCAAAAATGGAATTATTTGCTAAATATAGAATAGTCGAACAGTACAAGAAATTTGGAAGAATGATGGTATTATAGATAATTTTTCTGCTATATGAACTCAGACATCCAGAAACTCTCGATATATTTATCTACTACTAATCTTATTTATAACTTTCTCATAATGAATATCAAAAATTAATCGAGAGTTAACAAAAACCCCCAGGTATTTAAAATTTTCTACGAATTCAATATCTTCACCATCAATATTCAGTTGAACATTTGTACATTGTTTTTTTCCGATTAACAAGGCTTTCGTTTTACTTGCATTTAATTTTAGTCTGTTAGATGCTAACCATTTTGAGACAAGCTTCAAGTCTTCATTTATATAAGAGATACCAGAGTGAATATTTTTAGTACTTATATAAATCATAGTGTCATCGGCGAAAATCTGAATTTTGCATTTTTTGACTATGGCAGGTAAATTATTTATGTATAAAATAAAAAGAAGTGGTCCCAGTGCAGAGTAAAACCTACTTGACGATTTTTTACATTATTACGCATTGCTAAAATGTATTATCTATACAGATATTCGCGTATCGGTACTAGAAAGAAGAAGAAAAAAATTTTAACAGACACCATAAGTTTAACGTGAACTATACCCGTTTAGGCAATGCCATCCGCATTCGCAAATAGATAATTTTCAAATACGTGACTTCGACAGGTCCTTCTATTGACTGGATGACACACACAAAAATATTGTTAAGTTCAGTTTAAATTAGCTCCACCATTCTTGGTTATCTTTTAAATCCTTGCTGTAAATAACATTAACTCTTTATAATTAAAAATTATTTTATACTTTTTAGTTCGGTTAGCTATAAAAACTCTCTCTGACAAATCTGGCAATTCTACGCGACAATATTCGCAATCAGTATCTCAGTGCGCGGATGTCAACATAGCTACTATGATACCAAAGATCGCATGACATGTGATAATTATTCACTTACCTTCAGTACTCATACTTTTCTGTTTCATAAACAGTTTGACTAGATTGAAATTCGGTTGTTTGTTGCTCTCAATATTGCTGACATCCACTGAGGTAGCCATCTCTGATATGCTCGCGCTATTGCTGTGATTTAAATGGTGTTGGATGTTAAACACCTTTACTGGCTTTCTTTTCACTGTGGTTTCAGTCTGAAAAAGATATACCTTATAAAAATCTAAAGGTTTCTCTGGCGCTAAAGCAAAGTTTTATGTTACGACGTGATATGTTCAACAGATATGTATAGCCGGTCCTACTGGGAAACGTAGTAGCCAGTGAAACAAACTTTCATCATTAGATGTCTACACAGAGTTTTACAAATATTTCGGCAAAGAACAATAGCAAAGAAAGTCAGAGATGAAAAACATAGGAGCTGAGATAACAAAATGTAAGTCGTTAAAAAGTGGCACTACATTTAAATCCAAACTATATATTGGGACGCCTTTTATTTTTTATGTTTATTAGTCCAATACTTACCGAACTAGAACTCGCGCTTTTCAATTTCTGCTTATAAAGATTCGGCAAACTCTGACTTTTCAACGCCGTTTCATTCAGCATCAAACTATTCTCTCCTTCAGCAGAATTATTATTATTGCCGGAAGGCTGCCTTCTAAGATGATCATCACTGGATCTTTTCTTCAATTTACTCCAAGTTGTGAAGCTGCTAGAGTCAGATTGAGTCATGTCTGTGTGTTTTTCTTTGGTGTCTTTGTTCGACCAGCATGTGCTGTTTGTGTTTTGAGAATTACCACTTTTTTCTGAAAAGGAAATAGAAAAATGGTCAAACCGTTTCTATTATGAGAACAAATCTCCATAAATGCGGATTTCATTTTTTGAATATTAAGATCTTCATTTTGTTGTGCGCACTCATGTAATCTATCAATATTTTGCAGAACTGATGTGAATTTTTCTTTTGAGCTATTTTCTCAGAAAAAATGGCGTCAAGTAGGTTCACTTTGCACTTCCAACGGAAAGCTATCATCGATTCATGTTGTCGTACAAGTTAGTCCCTCTCAGAAAAGAACACGAACATATACTAAGTGACATATAAATCCGAACACCCAGTTTAAATGGTTTTATTTTAATAAAATTTTGTATAAGTACTTAATGAAGCATAATAAGTAAATGATAAAAATTTCAAAATGATTGCACTGCTTTAAAGCCCTTTGACCTTTAATAATGTGTGGATGCACCCTGATGTGCTACGCATTCTCCAACGCGCCTAGGCATGCTTCTGATCAGGTGGTCAATGTCCTCCTGTGGTATCTCATTCCAGGCAACCACCAACTCCTCTCGAAGTGCTTCTAGAGTCTGAGGAGGACGTTGCAAATTGAGCAATCTCCTACCCATCAGGTGATCTGGAACCATAAGCTATAGCACCCCAAACCATAACTACAACAGTGTGATGAACATGTCTTTCAACAAAAAACTGTGGATTCCTCCTTTCACCACGTCGCCTTCTAACCCTGGCACTACCATCGTGCATGCCTAAACAAAATCGAGACTCGTCACTAAAGACAATACTGTTCCATTCCTGATCCCAGAGTGACCGTTGTCTGCACCACTCAAGGCGATTACGTCGGTGTTCTCGAGTTAAAGGGAGGACCCAGTGTGGCCGGTATGAAAACAAGCCAAGACTTCTCATTCGTCGGTAAACACTTCGCATGCCAATAGGTCTTCCGTGTTCTGCAAACCATTCATTTGCAATGGACCTGGTAGTGGAGAAACGGTCCCTTAAGGCCAATAATCTTAGGCGGCGATCTTCACGGTCTGTTGTTCTACGGCGGCGTCCAGTGCCCCTTGCTCTTTGCGTACGGCCTTCTCGAAGCCATGCCTGACAACACCTAACCACAGTGTCTACACTACTTTGCACTCTAACTGCAATTGCCGGAAAAGAAAGTCCAGCTTCCCGAAGTCCCACTATACGGCCCCTATCAAACTCACTAAGTTGACGAAATCGTACAGGTCTCCTTACTCTAGGCATCGTAACCGATCGTAAAGGATGTCAAGAACCAAAATCCGCCTACGTTAATTCTTTACTGCGGCTGAAATATTCATTTTTAGAGCGTTAGTGAATTAAAAAAAAGCAGTATAGAAACCGGAATGTCCAACTGATAAGGCTGAAAATTTTTTCACTTGTTATTTACAGTAAGATAAATACATTCACCAACTTTTATTAAAATAAAACCATTTAAACTGGGTGTTCGGATTTATATGTCACTTAGTATATATAACAATAGATCAAGTGTCACTTTGCCGATTATTGGATTTTGACTAGTAAAATAACACATTAAGATTAATTAATTTCGTAAATGTTGAATGTCTTTTGCATAATGTAACAAGAACTGCATGTATATATTGTCAGCTGACAATTCCGCTAGCCTTTAAAGTTACTACGCAACTAACAAAAATTGAGGAATCGGACGCATGCTGTTTTGGACGCCCTAATACTGTTGTCAATGTGACAACTGTGCATGTGAATTTTTTATGCTGTCACAAATGAGTTCATAAATCTGGTACCAATAACCAGCAAGAATAGGATCTCAAATTAATTCAAGTTTTTAACAATAAGTCGTGACCAAAAATGAAACATCAGGCACAGGACCGCGTTTTAAGGGGGATCTTCTATGTAACATTTTTTCCTCGAGGGCTTTATTAAAAAGATGCGGGGTGCTGAAGTTTAAAAATATTTTTTTAATACCTTCAAAGCCGTCAACTCTGATGAACTTAAATTTGGTATGTGGATTTAAGTATTGCCCACATTCAAAAGTCTTTACTTAAAATTAACGTGCACCGGTGGCGGAGATACAGGGGATTAGTGGCATTTTTTTTTCCAAATAAAAAAATATGCCACTGTTTTTTCTTTCGAAACGCGCAATTTTTCAAAGTTTACCTTCAATTTACTACAAATACAGCAGACGCTCGATAACGTAAACACGGGATAATGAAAACTTGCGCTAATATAAACACAAACTTCGTTCTATAGGATCAAACGGCGCGCGCGATAACGTAAACAATGTGTACGCTCGATAATGTAAACAACTCTCGGCGCACGGAAACAGCGCGACGGTAAAATGCTGAAGCCTCGATGATTTATGTCGGGCGTCGGGGAGTCCCCGATTTATGATGTAGAGTGTAGGGGATTCACCTCTGCGATAAAATACGACAAACTCGGTCAGTCGTATGATCGTTTAGGATACGTTTATACGTACGTATGTATTTCATTTTTGAACTTAAGTGAATACATTGCACGCGTTAATATATTTTACGACTATGGCATCCACATCCTATAAAAGAAAGTGTTTAAAGTTGAGTGAGAAAGTGAAAATCATAGACGAAGTTGCACTAGGTGCGGGAGTGACAGTTAGCAAAAAAATATGGAGTATCGAAAGCAACAATCTGTAAAATTAAGCGTGTGAAAACTCAAATTTTACAAAGAACGTGCAATACATAGGAGGTCCGGGAAAAAGAAAAACTTTAAAAAATGCGAAGGCACCTAAAATGGAAAATTTCCTGTATGTGGTTTTTAAAACAACGGGAAAATCATGTCCCAGTTAGTGGCGAAGTACTTAAACAGAGAGCGAGACTGTTAAATGAAAAACTGAAAGAAACTGAAAATTTCGTAGCTAGTGATGGCTGGCTACAAAGATTCAAAACAAGATATGGAATTCGACTGCTGTCTATATCTGGTGAAAAATTATCAGCACAACCACAATTAGTGCAACCATTCAAAGAACAATTGATGAAAACAATTACCGAGCTAGATTTAAGAATGGACAAATTTACAACCCAGACAGTGGCCTTTATTGGAAAATGTTACCAGAGAAAACCTATGCTGCATCATTTGAAAAATCTGCCCCGGGAAGAAAGCCGGAGAAACAACGAATAACGTTTCTAGCCTGCACTAATGCTAATGGTCCACACAAAATAAAGCCACTGGTAATTGGGAAAGCAAAAAATCCGCGCTCATTTAAAAATGTTAATATCCCTGTTGATTATGACTGTTCAAAAACCGCTTGGATGACTACCAGTATATTCCTGAAATGGTTCTACAGGTGCTTTGTCCCTCAGGTATGACAATCAATTATCACAAATGCTCTATTCATAATTTGAAGATGTGTTTTCAATTTGTAGGTAAAAGGTTTCCTAAAACAACAGAAGCTTCCAATAAAAGCGTTGTTACTATTGGATAATGCACCAAGTCATCCTCCCGAGCAACAACTGAGGAGCAGGGATTGGTCAATTTTCGTCATGTACATGCCGCCCAACGTAACACCGTTAATTCAACCGATGGACCAGAATATAATAAGACTCACCAAACTATACTATAGGAAGTTTCTACTTTCGTCTGTCTTATCAAAGAATCCTGAAAACTTATCTGAGGCTTTAAAAAAAGTAACATTATGAGAAGCTGTTTTAGATTTAGATATGGCCTGGAATGAACTTAACCAGCAAACTGTTCAAAAATGTTGGAACAATCTCTTTTGTGCCAATAATGAAGATGATGAAGACGATGTCCACTTAAGCGTAATTAGAGAACGTTTGCGATCCAATAATGATAATGTTATTAGTGTGTCATTGGATATTGTTGATTTATTGAAAACAGTGAATCCCAACATTGTTTGTACTCCTGCTGATATTAATTTATGGAACGAAGATAAGCAGACGAATGATGCTGTTAAGGAGGAGGATATGGACAGTGAGGACGATGAGAACGATCCCATTGAAGTCCGAAGTGTAGTGACTGACGCGCAAGCTATACAAGTTTTTAACCAAGCTTTAGATTGGGCTGAAAGAAAAGAAGTTTCATCAACGGATATTTTAGTTCTTCGTAAATTACGGGCGCAGGCATTGGAAGACAATGCTAAGCGCAAATTTACGTAGACAAAAATTATTAGTTATTTTTCTTCTAATTAAAAAAATACTTATCGCTGTTAGAATATTTGTTTATTTTGTTATAAATAGTATGTATTAAACGTTTCTTTTAATAAATCAAATATTATATAAATCACGTTCGCTAATGTAAACACATTTCGATAATGTGAACCACACTTGGATTAACCCTTAACTACGGACATACATTTTTTATCCTCTAACACGGACAAGGAGTCTGACAGACTCCTATTAATGTATGCAATACATTTTTCTTTTTACAAAAAGTATGCTGATTTTTTCTTCATAAGTAAAACAAAATACATCTCATACATCATGTTTATTATCAATATTTTGAAAATACTATAAAATTATGCAAAAAAACCACGAAATAATTGGCGCATTCCATTTTGTTACAAATGCTAAACATACAAATAAAAAGCAACGCTAATATTAACAAAACATATAAATCAACAGTTATTTGAATTTAAACCTTATACTATAAGATCCCACAAACGGTAAAATAGTAAGAATAGGGCTGTAAACTTTAATATAAAAAAACCTGCACGAGGTGAATGTTTCATATATTTTCTAGAGTTTGACAACAGTTTATACAAGATTTTCGCGAACACTGCAGACATATTGGCTTTTTGCAGTTCGCACATGTATAGGCAGTCTTTCTTTTTAGCTTCGAGGGGCATATATAACAATATTTACGTGTATGTAGGCGTTCCTCAGTCACAGGTGTTGGCTCTTCTTGATGTAAAACGCGACAGATTAAATGTTTCAATTCTCTGTGTAACATTGGCATCTCCAATCTGTTACGCACATGTTTTTCAATTAACTGATCCGCCAATATTTTCACAAAATTGAAACGTGTTATATC